GCAATCTTAGCAGGTTTTCGCTTAATGGGTCCGGCCCGAGCGATAACTACCTATCACATTTGCGTTTGAACAATCGGATTGGACGATCCGACAAAAGGTGTTATTAGTGAATATATTACTTTTTCACAGTGATGTGGTTTGAATATTCCTATTAAGATATAAATCAGGTTTATGTATCATGTGTAATATGTATATTTGTGTTTATGTATACCTCAAGTGGGATTGGATGATTTGCCGAAAGAAACAAGAATTGTTAATTATTCAGGAATATTCAACCCAGCGATCTGGATTCGTGTGCCATTCTTGGTAGATGAGGGCTGGACTTTTAAGTTCAATGAATTTTGCTATTGATTTATATATTTTGAATTATGGTCCACAGAAATATAAAAATGAAGGTCATGTAGGGTCATGTTCTTAACCAGATATTGTTTTATACATCAACTTCACTGTGGTATTATTTACACAAGTAGGTCGGAGTAGGTTAGAATAGATCTCTTGCCAGCTATGCTGGTTGTATTCGCCGACCAAATGTATCTGTTGTTTAGCCTTGGTAATAATTTATTGTGTGACATTTTACGTCGACGGCGTCGATCTTGGATTCGAACCCGAACCCGTGTTTGACGGTGTCTTAACTCAAAAGTGACTTCATGATTTCGTCAAGGTGTTTATACTATAACTGTTTCTTTCAGCTCCAGTTAATTTAGCTCTCTTCTTCAACGGATACAAGGTCGGCATTACCAATCCTGCTGCCTTCGACGTCCCAATTTCCTGTTAGACCAGGAACTACGGTAATCACAATTCACCGTTGATCCCAGGTTAATGTCCCTTTCAATTCAGCAGCTTGGTCTTTCATGTAAACATGAACAAAATGAATACTAGTATGTATCTGTGACAATAAACAATAGTTGCTCTGATCTGTTCATGATGCATTTTTTCACATTTATTTAGTTTGTTTTCTAATTTGGGTTTCGTTCATTTCTACTACACAGTTTGATGTAGCATTTCTTTCAGTAACTATTTTCAAGTATTTCATGTCTTGTAACAGCTATTGATAGTGACGACAACATAAACAAGTTTTTGATTGTCACCATTGTCGCCAGTGCCCGTTTGCAAAATTGACATCCAGGATTATAACTGAAACACAGCATTTATTGACGTGATTTTCATATTCAAGCTGAAAGTTTCAAAAATTCTATAAAAACCTTCCTAGAAAATACTCCAAAGTATAACCTGAATCTTAAGCCATGCATATTCTTCTTTTATGCACTAAAACTGTTTTAATCATTTGTATGTATATAATATTGTAACGCTTTGAGCATACATTATGTATGGAATTCAGCGCGATAAAACTACACATATTATTTATCATAGCTGACTGATTTATGTATGCAACAGTAGATGGTTCATCTAACCACCCATACTACAATGCTAAGTATTGAAATATGCTGATGTTCAAACGGAAGCATAGACCTGGCATTTTGGGGTTATTATTTTGACAGACTTTGTGTGCCTGTTGCCAAAACATAACATCTGTCCTTTACAGTGTTGTGCGTGGAAAATGATGGAAATTGATTTTGTTGAATCGCATGTACATTTTATGCGCCTTAATACAAACGCGCACATCAAATATGTCAAGATTATGAGCAGCGGGTCGAGAACGAGATTTTGGAATGTCCCAAATGTGAGCATCGAACGGCTATATTGCCAGAACGTTGGACTGTACAAAGCACACCATCATCAGACTAATGAGGCGCGTCAATCGGGCTGGACAGACAACTGACTGTCAGAAGTGGAAGACCGAGAGTGACCACGCCGCAAGATGACAGCAATGGAACACATGTGCAGGAAGAGTAAATCGTTGGGGTTTCTTGTGTTGTTAAAGCATCAATTTTGTTGTGTTTTTTTATTGGTGTGTTGGGTTTGTATTGCTAGTTTTATTTTATTTTATCTTATTTCTATTAATGTTTATTTTTTATAGAAAAATTGTTTGGGATGTGTGTGTTTCTCTTTGGTTGCTTTGTTGTTTTGTTTTGTGTGTTGTTGCTTTTTGGGGAGGGGCTTTTATTTGGGGTTTTGGGGTGGTTTGGGTTTTGTTTGTGACCTGCAACAATAGCAGGTTTAACCTCATATCATTGTACCTGTTTGACCTACAAAACACATGAACGCCACCGGCGTATCTGTGAAAGTCATCAGCCGGAAACACCAGGTGTACTACATTCCGGTTTGAAGCTCACTACGTGTACAGACTTTGTCCCTGGTATTTGGACAAATATGAAGAACAGGGTCAGAGGTCCACTTTACATCCAGAATAGAAGAGAGTTGCCTGTGCCACCAGTGAATGTCCAATACAGTTGCTTGTGCCATTTAATGTCATCAAAGGAGTCATTTGAACCAATTTTGCTTGTGCCAACTCCATACACCACTAGTGAATGTCAAGTTTGAGGAAGACATGAATCGTGATCATATTGCCTGTACTAATGTATTACCCAAAAGGAGTATTGTTTTTTTGAGATTGAGGTTAGAAATGTTTTGTTTGTGGAAAGGTATTGTTTGAAGAGTTTGTTTTGCATGTGGAAAGGGAAGAGTTTGCAAACAACATTGAAATCGAGAAGCACGTGCATCATGCATGCATTCAGGCATAAACTGCCAACTTAAATGGCAATCGTTCACATGTTTTCTGAACACAGCAGCTATATTTTCGATTTCCTGATTAACACATTAACATGGTTTCTGGCTACTCTGTCGCTGAGCCTTGGCCTCCTTAACATCTGATGAGTACCTGGAACCATCCCGTTAAGGGATTTGTTTCATCTCCAAAGGCGCATAAATGTTCAGACATTTCGAGAGTGAGTCACACAGGAAGTCGGAGATATCATCATCATCACTCGGAGGCTTGGTAACAATGGAAGATTTCATGAAATCTGCCATTGTTAGTATTTAACAATAGTAATTCAACTGCATTCATATATATACATTGTCACAAATAACTGTAACATGTAATATTCCCTGTAGCAATAGGAGATGAACCACATGGAGGTATACTCTATAACAGTATTGCATGAACTACAGGTATACAGGTATTTATCAGGTAAATTAACTGCATGCAAATATACCCTGCAAAAGTATATGAGCTGCAGATATATATAACCGGTAACATTAGTAGATGAATAAAAGACATATATATCCTGTGAAAATATGAGATGAACGTCATGTATAAATTCCCTGAAATGAGAGTACATGTAGATGGCTAACATACGTTGTGCGGCTTATGCTTTCGGTTGATGTATACTCAGAGGCAAAAGTTGTTTGTTGTTTAACCCCACATTCAGCAATATTCCAGCTATATGGCGGCGGTCTCTAAATAATCGAGTCTGGACCAGATAATCGTGATCAACATCATGAACATCGATCTACGCAAATGATGCGATGACATGTGTCAACCAAGTCAGCGAGTCTGACCACCCGATCCCGTGGGACGCATGGTTTACTGCAAACCAAATCTGATCCGGATCTTCACTGTTTTGGTATAACATTCTATCATCGGTAATCTGGAGAATAGAGATTCAATGTCCATAAATATACCATTTGTCACTTATGAGGACGTTTACAGCAAAACAAATAAAGTAATAAAGACCTTCCTCGATGTGGCCACCAACCAGAAACGACCCCATGTCAAGACAGATAGATTTGCATCACGCACCTCGGATACAAGTTCCAACCAGCAACCCTTCCAGCACATCGTTTGGAGGTGGGGGCGTTGTGATCTGTGGTTGGATCACACTTGCAGGACGCCAATGGTTATGACTTGAATGCTGTGAGTTTCGCAGAAGAATTTCTGCCAATGGCCGCTTAACCGTTTTTGCAACAGTACGACCTTGGAGTAATGTTTCTATGCAATAATGCCAGACCCCACGTTGCTCTAGCTGTATAATTGCATCTTAGTCAGAACAATATTATTGTGTTACCCAGGGCCTAGATTTTCAAAGCTCTCTTAGCGCTAAGATAGTCGTAAGTTAATGGTAATGTATGGCACTTACGACTGTCTTAGCGCGAAGAGAGCAACGAAAATCTAGGCCCTGGTTCACAAGGTGCCCCGATTTGTCACCTCATCTGAATCCTCCAACAACGCTGCAGGAACTCCGCCAAATGCCTCCTCGGATATGGAATGAACTTCCCGGGGCTTTCATCGATGTGTAGTGGCCTAAATGAGGCGAAGGTGCCAGGCCTGTATCGATGCACAAGGTGGGTACACTGACTACTGACCGTGTTAACTGGTTTCTGAACCCATTTTCTGTTGTGGCTCATACTTGTGGACTTTTGTTGTTCTGACGGAATTTTGAAACATTTGACTTACCATGTAACAACATGTCATTTTGCGACAGTAAAGGTTTGACACTGGTTCTGTTTGTCGTTTGTGTTTATCATCCAAAACTGTGTTCCACAGGAGATATCGCTTGTGTGAGATCAAACGATATCTCCTAGGAGATATCGTTTTGACAATAGATTTTGTACAATGCCCTGACAATGCTATGACGTCATGTACTTGATGACATCACAATGCTATGACATCGCTGCACTGCAAGTCTAATGGCAGTACCATGTTCAGAGATGTACATTTTTCATTGAAAATTAATGAAGAGTGATTTTGGGATGATAAATAGAATCTCACCCTCGTGTCTTCTGATATCAAATATATCAACACTCGTTGATAAAGTAAAAATATCCTCGGCAAGCCTCGGATATTTGTAACTTTATCAACTCGTGTTGATATAATTGATATCAGAAGACACTTGGGTGAGATTTTCTATATCTCAATAACTTTTGAACTTTAGTATACATTACGAACCCTGCACTGAATGACCTCCTTTTCTTCTAGAGAGCACGCAGATGGTACGGAGATAACAAGATCCAGGCGCGTTTGGTTGACCCAGTACTTGGAATGTGTTTTTAATTTGATGGTTAAAAAAGTCCCATGTCCACCATTACCAGGGCACCAACAGTGCAGCATTTGGCAGCAGTGGTGGGCTATGCTTCGACTTTGATGTATTTAGACTTAGTGCTGGAATGTACTAAAACCCTACAGACATCTCATGTGAGACTTGGAACAGTATCGAAAGACCTGGTAGGATTTTTTGGTATATAAGAGGAGAGAACTCTTGCTTCTGGTCTCACATAACATCTCAAGAAGACCAGGCCAGCACTGTATTTTGTGATGATAATCATTCTTTTGATACCCTCTGAGTAGCTCTTTCTTGCAGCTGGATAAATGATGAAAGTGGAATATAACCATCCCTCCATTTGTACTGATTATTAAACTTCGTTTATTTTAGATACAGTGACTATTTACACAGCATTTCCTTCGTCCTTTTCTTTTTTGAACTTGGGAATCAACACTTAGCATACTTTACTGATCGTCTGAAGATTTGTAGGTTGATAGAGGGCAATGTTGTTGGGGTTTTTCTTCAGAAGTTGGAGCCAAGACAAAATCAGCTATGTAATATTTTCCATGCTGAAAATCAATACATTCCATCATTGCAAAATATCCACATAATATTAATGCTACGCACACTGAGTGAAAATAACTCTGTTCCTGAATATAGCAATGCAATGTAAAAACAATCGTTCAAACGTTCCCAGAGACTATAAAACTAGCAGTCAGCTTGTGACGACAGTTTTCTTTCCTGTTTTTGCCCTGATGTCCACCATGCTGTTTCTTCTTGTCAGTCTATCTTGTCTGGCGGCCGTTACGGCTCAGGGAACACCTTGTTGTATGGCCAGTAAATGGTCAGCAACGATGTCGGACATACAAGCTATAGCCAGTGGAAATATGGTAAGCTGATGATTTTAGCATCATTTTCAGGAATACATTTTATGTTTCCAAATGTGCAATTCCTTGGATCAAAACCCTACATCGGTTATGTTTTAAAACCATAAGTGCATTTCCTCAAACACCTAATTACACAAAGCAATATTCCAGCGATATTACAATCACAAAGCAACACCACAATTTGTGTAGACACGTGCGCGTTACCCCTTCCTTTATTTTACATATTACATACTTCAGGTTACGTCCAACTACTACTACGACAGCGACAACATGGCCACCGCCATCCAGTACTACGAGTTTGGAACCCCAACGCCTGTATTGAGGAACAGGGTTGTTACATCATACTCCAAGGTACTTGTTAAATGCATCGTGTAATCCATGTGACAGAGTAATATTTGTAGCCTATGAGTGCGTTTCTATTAAGTTCAACAATTCTGATGTTTATCTATCCAGCTATCTCCTGCCGCCTTATCGAAATGACATTATCTCTTTATGGGTTGGGTTTTATTTGCCTTATCAGGTCAAGAGTTCTTGCTGTATGACTCAGTAAACTATATACAGCTTATCGATGTTGTTTCATTCTGGTACCAAAGGTTCGCTGGCGTTTGGATTGCTGCTACTCTAGTTCCTACTTCTCTGGTGTTCATCCTGATTCCAGCAGCTCATGGACGTTAACTTTTGATCTTGAGCGTTCATTGATGTTCAGATCCTCGCTCGTTTCCACAACTATGGCCGTATACTTTACACGTGCTTTTTCTGGACATTGATGACTTGTTCACATTGGTTTCTACTGCCCATTGATGCTTAGTTCACACTGGTTAAAACTGTTTACTGAAAAGAAAATGGTCCCCACAGATTGTTGCCGTTTATTCCTACAACAAATGTAATGTTTGGTTCACTTTGGCAACTACAGTTCGTTCACATTTAGTTCACCCTGAAAATTGCAATTCAATTATGTTTAATTCACATGTATTCCTCCAATTCCGATGTTTAGTATTCTTTAGTTCTATTTTGCGTTTAGGTTACTTTCCTACTTACTGCTAATTGAGATTTCGTTCGTTCTGGTTCTTACAGCTCATGTGCTCTCATCACTGATATTAGGTTCAAACTGGTTCCAATCACAGTATACTGATTTTAACTTCTCTCTGGTACTTACAGTTCACTGAGGCATGGTTCCGTCTGGCACATACAGGCCACTGGGATTTGGTGTAATCGTATTCTGACAGTTCACTGTTATGTGTTTCAACTCATTTCTTTAATAACGTGGTTTAATTGGGTTCCTTCCTTCTGTTCACTGATGTTTGATTCAATTGTGGTATGATGAATCCAGTTCCTAAAGTTCATTGCTGTGTGGTTCATTCTAGCGAACATTGTACAATTGTGTATATTTACCTGATGTTTTCGCAACTTGGGTCATATAGGTAACTGACATTGTGACCTTTCAGAATGTACGTTACAACATTGACGCTGACGGCACATGCACAAAAGAAGACATCTCAGATACCATGGTCCCAAAGTGCATCCCAGGTAGGTGCCTTACATAACTCTGATTTTCTTGTAGATTTACATGTTTTACCTTCTAAACGTCTGTTACCATCTCTTAAACATATCACAGTTACAAATGTAGTTTAAGTGTTTAAAGTTATGTTTTGTCTTGAATTTGGGATTATTGCACGAACGCACTCCTTCATATTAAACAATTATTACAATACCCTCTTCTTCCATCCAGCCACGGCTACTTACCTTGGTTCTAACTACGTTGGTACTGAGGAAAATGGGCTGAAGTATGATGGCTGGCAGATACCTCTGGGTAGCCTCAACATCACTGTCAGCTTCTCCAACCCCGACTGCATCCCAATAGTTCAGGCTGTCACTGGCACAGCATCATCATGTAGGTACCCAATGTGTATATACAAGCATTACATACCCGGAATATAAGAAATTTCGGTCAAACGCGGAGTTCATTGTTCTATGCTGCCAGTGTCATAAGTATGGTGCAATGACTCACCATCTTACAGCAATCATAGCAGGTTTTCGCTTAATGGGTCCGGTCCGAGCTATAACTACCTATCACATTTGCGTTTGAACAATCGGATTGGACGATCCGACAAAAGGTGTTATTAGTGAATATATTACTTTTTCACAGTGATGTGGTTTGAATATTCCTATTAAGATATAAATCAGGTTTATGTATCATGTGTAATATGTATATTTGTGTTTATGTATACCTCAAGTGGGATTGGATGATTTGCCGAAAGAAACAAGAATTGTTAATTATTCAGGAATATTCAACCCAGCGATCTGGATTTCGTGTGCCATTCTTGGTAGATGAGGGCTGGACTTTTAAGTTCAATGAATTTTGCTATTGATTTATATATATTTTAGAATTATGGTCCACAGAAATATAACAAATGTGGCTTTTGAAGATCATGTAGGGTCATGTTCTTAACCAGATATTGTTTTATACATCAACTTCACTGTGGTATTATTTACACAAGTAGGTCGGAGTAGGTTAGAATAGATCTCTTGCCAGCTATGCTGGTTGTATTCGCCGACCAAATGTATCTGTTGTTTAGCCTTGGTAATAATTTATTGTGTTACATTTTACGTCGACGGCGTCGATCTTGGCTTCGAACCCGAACCCGTGTTTGACGGTGTCTTAACTCAAAAGTGACTTCATGATTTCGTCAAGGTGTTTATACTATAACTGTTTCTTTCAGCTCCAGTTAATTTAGCTCTCTTCTTCAACGGATACAAGGTCGGCATTACCAATCCTGCTGCCTTCGACGTCCCAATTTCTTGTTAGACCAGGAAATACGGTAATCACAATTCACCGTTGATCCCAGGTTAATGTCCATTTCAATTCAGCAGCTTGGTCTTTCATGTAAATATGAACAGAAATGAATACTAGTATGTATCTGTGACATAGTTGCTCTGATCTGTCATGATGCATTTTTTCACATTTATTTAGTTTGTTTTCTAATTTGGGTTTCGTTCATTTCTACTACACAGTTTGATGTAGCATTTCAAGTATTTCATGTTTTGTAACAGCTATTGATAGTGACGCCAACATAAACAAGTTCTTGATTGTCACCATTGTCGCCAGTGCCCGTTTGACATCCAGGATTATAACTGAAACACAGTATTTATTGACGTGATCTTCGTACTCAAGCTGAAAATTTCAAACATTCTATAAAAACCTTCCTAGAAAATACTCCAAAGTATAACCTGAATCTGAAGCCATGCATATTCTTCTTTTATGCACTAAAAACTGTTTTTAATCATTTGTATGTATATAATATTGTAACGCTTTGAGCATACATTATGTATGGAATTCAGCGCGATATAACTACACATATTATTTATCATACTGACTGATTTATGTATGCAACAGTAGTTGGTTCATCTATCCATCCATACTACAATGCTAAGTATTGAAACATGCTGATGTTCAAAAGAAAGCATAGACCTGGCATTTTGGGGTTATGTTCGTTTGGGGTTAAGTCAATATTTTGAAAAATGTTTCAGTTGTGACTTACACTGGACAGACTTTGTGTGCATGTTGCCAAAACATAATACTTTACAGTGCTGTGCGTGGAATATCATGGACATTGATTTTGTTGAATCGCATGTACATTTAATATACAAACGCGCGCATCAAATATGTCAAGATTATGAGCAGCGGAACGAGAACGAGATTTTGGAATGTCCCAGATGGGGGCTACGAACAGATTTTGTGCCAGAACGTTCGACTGTACAAGGCAGACCATCATCAGACTAATGAGGCGCGCCAATCGGGCTGGACAGACATCTAACTGTCAGAAGTGGAAGACCGAGAGTGACCACGCCGCAAGATGACAGCACTGGAACACATGTACAGGAAGAGTAAATCGTTGGGGTTTCTTGTGTTGAAGTTATTTTGTTTTGTTAAGGCATCAACTTTGTTGTGTTTTTTATGTGTGTGTTGGGTTGTATTGATAGTTTTATTTTATTTTATCTTATTTCTATTAATGTTTATTTTTTATAAAAAAAATTGTTTGGGATGTGTGTGTTTCTGTTTGGTTGCTGTTGTTTTGTTTTTTGTTGTTGCTTTTTTTGTTTCGTTTATTTGGGGGTTTTGGGGGGTGGTTTGGTTTTTGTTTGTGACCTGCAACAATAGCAGGTTTAACCTCATATCAGTGTACCTGTTTGACCTACAATTAAACATGAACGCCACCGGCGTATCTGTGAAGGTCATCAGCCGGAAACACCAGGTGTACTACATTCCGGTGTGAAGCTCTGTACGTGTTCAGACTTTGTCCCTGGTATTTGGACAAATATGAAGAACAGGGTCAGAGGTCCACTTTACATCCAGAATAGAAGAGAGTTGCTTGTGCCACCAGTGAATGTCCAGTACAGTTGCTTGTGTCACCAGTGAATGTCCAATAGAGTTGCCTGTGCCACCAGTGAATGTCCAATACAGTTGCCTGTGCCACCAGTGAATGTTCAATACAGTTGCTTGTGTCGCCAGTGAATGTTCAATACGGTTGCTTGTGTCACCAGTGAATATTCAATACGGTTGCTTGTGTCACCAATGAATGCCCAATAGAGATGCTTGTGTCGTCAGTGAATGTTCAATACGGTTGCCTGTGTCGCCAGTGAATGTTCAATACAGTTGCCTGTGTCTGAGAATCTCTGTGTATATGCTAACGATTTAGAACACTTAATATGTATATGAATGTATTCTTGTGTCTAAATATACCTTCTTTGACGCAGCAGCCAATGATATTCGACATATTCGTGGCATATTGGAATCTGCAGTAAACCAACAGGTGACCGATAGTGTGAACAAACGCTACCCCGCCGGTAGTGACCTAGAACCATCGGGAAGACCTACTTTCAACCAGCATAGAATACTGGAGACTAGTGTTGCTCCAGCGTCTGCAGGCAATCACAAATATACCTCATGCTTGTTTGGTTTCTCATAGGACAATCTATGTTCCAGACAGTAAACTTCCCGTAAGGTATATCTTCAGTCGAGTATCTGTGTGTTCGTTTAGTGTGCGTTCGAATGTATATGTCTTTATACTTCAACAGTAGCTATAAAGCATATTAATGTTTAGATAATATACACATCTACTTTTCATAGTTTAATGGTTCGAAATAATTGAACTTAATCACTGTTCAATTTATCATTCATCCCTTGAATTGAAATAAGAAGCAGTATTGAATAATCAGGAAATGGTCGTTAATTATATTTAAAATCCTTTGAAGCCTGAAGACGAGATGGACAGTGTAGTCAATTAATGTCACGAGAAATATGATTAAATGTAACTTCAATACACACAAATGACCCCTTCTCTGAAAATATACAACATTTATGGCACCAACTGTTAACACTCCTGATGTATATCTCTTAAAAATAGCTTACAATATTTCCATAATATAACTCCCCATGGAAACACTATGCACGTGAACATTACACTAATCATAGATATAGTTGTGTATGACCAAATTATAAACACATATGACGAGGGACGTTACTATGGAAACATTACTGATAGGTATCTCTTAGACAAGCGTCATTCATGACAAAGTTCCTGACATTTCAAGCTGTATAAAATATGCTGAAAAACAGGAACAAGGGATATAACTCTGTAATAACATATTTACAAATTTTCGAAGTCATTTGAGACTAAACAGTAACGTTTCTGAACCAACATTAATAGTTTTTTTAGAACATTGCCCCATTGAGACGCAGAGTGACGGAAGAACGGACAGACAAGCATAGTCTGTTCTTGTATCCTCTGCTTCACTTCTTACAGATACCGCCTTCGTGGTGTAATGGTTAGAGCGTCCGCCCGGAGAGCCTAAGGTCGCGGGTGGGTAGCCTAGTGGTTAAAGCGTTCGCTCGTCACGCCGAAGCGTCGGATTCGATTCCCCACATGGGTACAATGTGTAAAGCCCATTTCTGGTGTCCCCTCGCCGTGATATTGATGGAATATTGCTAAAAGCGGCGTAAAACTAAACTCACTCACTCACTCACTCTTTGGGGAATAGCGACAAGTGACGACAAACAATTGAATCAGCAAGGCATTATGTAAGTTTACTTGTAAATAAATCAAAGTATATAGAAAATAAACGTAACACAGACATATTGCACTTAATGTGACACCAATGAGAAAGTCGGAATGATGTAACCGGTACAGAGCAGTGGAAACACCCCTCCTCAGCTGTAACGTTTGGGAGTGAAGTACACGTCTTTTGTGAGCTTAGTAATTATACACGGCACTTGTTTCTTTCCATCCTTCGACTGGAGCTGCGTCATAGCTCCGCATACCCTCGTGAGGACTCTTGTGAGAGATGTGGCCTCAGCGTTGGTGCTGAGAAACGTGTCCGAGAGGCATCTTGTAAACCAGGAACCGTCTGTGCGCCGCCAGGCCGCGAAACCTGTAAGGGGACATAAATTAATCATCATCTGTATTGTATTTCTATCATCTGTGTGTGCGTCAACGTGGGCATGTGTGACTGTTACAATGTTCCAGTGTTGTTCCAGTGTTATACCAGAAGGACATTTGCTGAAGACGAGATATTACTCTGGGCCTAAGTTTGTCTTTTTTCCGCCTGAATCTCTGGATCTCTGGACAAGCAAGGCTACAGAAGACCTGTTAAAACCTGTAATCGGGCGTGTGCATAATTGAACAAACAAAGATAATAAAACAGAACGACCTCACTTTCATGCATGACAGATACTGGAAGAGAGCAAGCTGTCGACATTCAGGTTATGAATACACAGTAATCTGAAGCTCTGACGGAAATAAGGAAATGGTAAACCCTTTCACAATCAAACATTTCATACTTTTGTTAGAGAAAGGTATGTTTAATATGTCATTGTTTGGGGAATTTTTAATCAGACCTTCCGGAGATCCAAGCAGAGAAACAAGCAAACTTGGGTTTGAGACGATCGGAGTTATATATAGTAGCAATAGCAATTAGCAAGCAATTCGGCGGTTTCATATTAATTTTCAACTCGCTATGCGCATGACTGGAGCGTGTAAAAAATCCACTGGCCTGGTTCCGGTTTGGTCGTATGTTTACCGATAGTGTAAACACACTCTAAAGAAATCTAAAATCAAAACAAATATTTAGCTTTATGTCGAATGCAACTGACCCCAATTCATTTATGAAACAAAGACTGGGATTAGTTATATAAATAGCTTAATTTATGTTCACATGCTCTTGTATAAAGACATCTCACCACCACCGTCCTTCCCGCACATCCTCTTCTCACAACTAAAAAAAACCTCCGAAGCAATTGCAACCAAAATAGAACATCGTTTATTGAAAAGCATAGGCAAATGGAAGTATGAACTTAGCTATGAACTGTTGTCACACGTAAATAATCTTAATAAGAGCTTTTCTTTAGCGTGTGTTTCCACTATCGGTAAACAAACAAACGACCAAACTGGAAATCTGCAGTGGATATTTTTACACGCTCTGCGCATGCGCACAGCGAGACGAACAGTAATGTGAAACCACCGAATGCTTGTTGTGAGAATCTAACGGGATAGGGCTGTTAGATTTGCTGACTCGGCTGATGCATGTCATGGTAAATTGATTAATTGAAATTGCATTCAAATTGATTATATCGATGTTCGTTAAGTCAATCAAAGGTTTGTGTGTCTGGTCCTCAATATTATTTACAGACGCGGACGTTTTGTTGGAATATTGGAATATTAAACAAGCATACATATAGGACCCGTAAGTAGGTCAAGGAACTTCGCGAGACCTTAGTACTTCCGGTGACAAACAACGTTTCACAGCTTTTCGAATGGTCTCATGGTTGTCAGTTGACAGTAAAGTTGCAGGAATAACAAATTTACGATCTAACCATCCCCAAATTAGCCAACTATTACGACTGTCAACAGCTGTGACAGCCAAGCATGGTTGTACACTTGGTCCGGTCTAGTAAAGTCATATTTGGCGGTTGCGCAATATGGAACCAGAACTGGTTCTTGAATATACGCTTGTCACCGGAAATGTGGTACCGAAGGTAAGCTGGGCACCGTCTCGCATATCTCAAGTTGGCGCGCGCAAAGGGAGCCGGGAACCAGCTTGTATCGGAAGAAGAACCTCGCGAGACTTACAGGCCTCATACGAGTACACATACCTGGAGGCGAGGCGTACATCACAAGGAAATGAGGATCGATGGGGGGACAGAGCGGAGAGGGATTACTTCCCTTCTTTGAATGCTCTTTCACTCTGGCGTCGTTAGTACACTGCCCAGGATCTTGTGGAGTTAGGTTCAGTTTAGATATCATGATCTCTTGGCCATCGTCCAACAGCTCACCTCGACATGCCTGTAACACAATGGGGGATGAAATGGACCATTGAACCATGTATTCAGTTCAAGCGATTCACGATGTTGAGATGCGCCCCTTAGATGTCTGTGAGTCTATCCTGATGCTTCGATTGTCACACCCCAGTAGTGGCTATCCCACAATTGGTCATTATCAAGTGAAGTCTTGACAATTCTGACAAGCGATTGGCGAAACAGAAATCATGTCCCCATGCCTAAGTCGCAACCTTATTTTAGTTTACTTAAGAAATACTATAAAACATTCCAGGGAGAGTAAACCACGTTAGGCCAAGCCCCAAGTGGTTCATTCTCCTTGTTTTGTATTATTGTATCTTTTCTCCTTACAGGGATTGACGGGCGGTACCTCTAGCGTTTGGGTTGAAGCGTTCTGCTCGTCACGCCAAGAACAGCTCCTCGATTCTCCATGGATTAATGTGTGAGTGCCCATTTCTGGTGTCCCCGAGTGATAGCTGCTGAGTTTAATTTTGCTAAAAATATTCCAGCGTATGGCGGCATACTGTCACTCACTATCGAGGATTGACATACCTCCAGTATCCTTTGGAACATCGATCGCGCATCGCCATTGCCCAGCAAAGAAGTACAATTCCTTATCCTCTAGTGATTAACGTAGTGCTATTCATGACGTCATCGAGTACCGAGCGTAGCTAAATCACCTTAGACATACATTATATCAAAGTATAATCACCTGTATAAAGAATAACCGGGGCTTCCCTCTAAGTCCGGGGCACTTGGCGTCTGAGAATATGTCCAGCAGCACCTTCGTAAGGACAAGGTCGCCGCCGATACCCATAATGGCGTCTTCTGATGGTGAGCCTTCCTTGATGGTCACTTCGTCGCCATGGGAACCAATGGCGCATGCAAAGCAGTCGGCTCGCTCATGGTCCGGAAAACATGCAACTGAAATGGAAATGATTGTCTTGAAGATAATGGACATCACTTCATATCTATGTATGTGTGCAGGCTCCGTCATAATACTTACACACCGGAAACCTGGGCCCACATGCGCAGAGCACCCTTTACATACCAATGTGCTAGCACTATACTATGGTAGAGTGACTGGAAGAAGGCTTTGATTCATGCTTCCGGTATCAGCTAAGATCTTACGGGGTGACAATATGAATATCTTAAGACTTGTCGCACTTAAGCAATAGTGCATATATTATTGATGATATATCCCACATAGATTTTCTTGTTATGCATTCATGTGACTACTTTTACTTGTACAAAAACAGAAGGAGATTGTGAAAACATATATGGAAGGGAACAAATAATGTTTATAGAAAGGTGTTCAATAAATATATAAAACGTATGAATTACCTTATTAAACGCTGACATTTGATAAATGATTACTTTTGTTGGTTATGTTTTATACATGTGCGTTCCTAGCGTCTCGTGTGTATTTCCTCGTTAAAAATAGAATTGTTTGTATATAAACTTCATGTATTAAAAACCCTCTCGACTTATTCAGTTTTAGGTTATAATTTTTATTGTGGTTTACAATTATCTCTGCCTGTAATCTGCACGTCAAACCTGTTCGCCCGCAGAGCTTATCAATGCCTGGAGTAAAATCTAGAATTCACGGTTGTGAAATATCACTGTTTGCATCGCTATGAGTAAAATCTGCATTTGTGTTTTATTTGTGTTTTCGCTTTTTGGGTCCAGGACAACACTATATTTATGACCTTGCCAGCGTTTAATACTGTATGGTTTGTTATCAGTTGTGCTTTCAATCTCCACTCAAAAACAGTACATGCATGGATGGTCTTAGCATATGCTTGTTGTTTTCGTTTACGACGCATTCAGCAATATTCAAGCCATGTTGCGGGGGTCTGTAATATTCATCGAGTCTAGACCAGACAATCAAGTGATCAAGATCATCTTACCCATCTTGAGTGTCGCCACCATTTCATCGACAGTCAGATCGTTGTAGATGACAATGTCAAAGCCGTAGCAGGTAAACATCTTTGTCAGCCTGATGACGTCGATTTCTGAGCCGTCGCGGCCATGTCGAGGATTGACGAATTTTTTGTTGTTGATGATGACGGCGATACCACGTCGGGGATGACGGAAGTCATACGTATTCGACTCCATGATGCCTGGCGGTGACTTCCGGTTATCGCAATTTTTAGCCCCGTTTTTACCTCCTTTGTCAGTCCTAAACGACACAGATATGAATGAGTGAGTGGCACCAGCCAGGTTAGCAGTTTCAGAAAGACATATATAATCATGCACACGAGGCCGCTTGGTGTGGAAGAAAGCTCAAGGTGCTGCAGGTCTTAGACGATTCTTTGATTTGAACGACTAAGGGACCGTCAATAATTATGGCTAGGTGAGGTGGGGTGGGGGGTTGTTAATCATTTTAAGGGGATGGGATTTTGTTCTGGGGAGGTAGTGGGGTCATCAATTTTGTACACGTACTAGGGGGGGTCAGCAATTTTGTCCATAAAGATAATATTAAAAAATTATGCTTTAAAAATATGGGAAGGAGGAAGGAGGTCATTGATCTTGCACATGACATGCAGGGTGTCACTTACTTTGTACATAAATTTTAATTCTCCATATAAATCATCATCACACACACACACACCCACACTCCACCCCACCCACCCACCCACCTACCACCTCCTAGCCATAAATTCTGAACGGTCCCTACGGACACAGGTTTGTGAATGAGAGGAGGAGGGTACAATAACAATAAAAACAGGACAGGCCCGTGCAGGAAATCATTGATGATCGGTGATCAATATTTGCGTAGTTACCCCATGAAGAACTTCTTTATCTTTGTCGTGGTGAGCCCATCAGCATTTTCATTGTCTGAAAGGATGCAGGTGTTAATCGTCATATCATCAGAATGATATTAATTAAAGTAACACATATATATATCTTAACACTTCAACCTTAAGGACCGTAAGAACACGGTGATTTATTTCATTAAGTTTTCTGAATGTATAGTTCAGATTCTAAGATTTGATTTGTGTAATATCGTGTGCGCCTACGGACGTTCAGTTCCATCCATGATGCCTTGACTCAAACGGTGTTACTTTTATAAAATAATTCGTGTTCACGTTGTGAATTTATTAACAGGTATCTTAAACAAAATAGTTTCAAATATTTGGATAAAACAGGATGCCGTCTTGAGACGAAACATGTTTGAATACAAAAGAATACATTTAGAAAGATCTAACTGCGTGAATAGAGTGTTCAAAACATGAACTAAGGAGAAAAAAGGAACATGGCGCCCTACTATTCGCCATTTGATATTTGTTTACCTGTAGTGACAAAACCGGATATTTTTATCAGTTAAAATAATAATGACTCAATTTTATAATCTTGCAACGTTTCATTTCTTGTGCAAGGCAAGTTTATTTTTTAACAGTTTGGTGTTGTTGTTTTTTAAATTTCCAGCAATAATGATCACACAGAACATGGTCAACAAGAGTTGTTTGAGAAATGGCCATTGGTTTGATACTCAACAATTCATTTGAAATCAATCGTATTCAACGATGACATAATACTTTATGTTTATGTAACGAATGGCGTGGCGTCGAACTGATCTGACGTTCGAATGTCCAATTGAAAAGCAAAAGTTCCTGAACACAGCTTTAACATAAGTTTTAACTCGGTCCGGGCTAGCGGGCTAGCGTTAATTTCATCCCTGGAATAAGAGGAGTTATTTTTCTAACTAGATGGATTCCCAGTGATGTACGTTTACTGTAACAAGCTGTAATTTCACATGCAGTCAACGCACCTGAAGTCGTCTCCTCTTTCTGCTCCGTGTTCTCCACTTCGTCCATTGTGATCGACGTTGATGTGATCACAGTCGAGATTTGAATTCAAAATTTCTGGAAAGTAATGTTGATAATCATTTGAATAGGTGGTATAGATAACGAGAAACACGGAACTTAAAGTTTGAGGAAAATGTATAGTGTAAAGCAGCCATGCTGATATTGGCTTATTCAATTTCATTTCAACATTTTCAAAAGGTGTTATCGTGCCTGAATACGGTGAAATGGTGGTGGAATAGATTATGAAACTGCTTTTCTATTTATTCACGCACATACAAGCACACATACACGTACAAACGAACACACACGCGTTTTTGTCTGTGTGTGTGCGTGCGTGCGTGCGTGCGTGCGTGCGTGCGTGCGTGTGTGTGTGTCCCTAAGAGCGGACTGAGTTGGTTATACACCGTATACAGCAATTGCCTATCCTACGCAGCATATAAACTTATAAAATACCGAGTCATTATATTCGTTTCAAATATATTTGTATCTTTATACAGTTTCTGTCAAGACTGTTCGCGGTTGATCATAGTCACTGCACTGTATTGGGTACTCTCCCTTAGTTTCGCCAGGATCCACCAGATCCCAAATTCGTACTATCGACACCAAACTCGCTTAGATGGTAAACCGGATTGATAAACATGAGCGTTCTCTGTCACTTCAAGTTTAAATCGGACACAGCGTGATATAACTGAAATGTTTCCTCACCGACGTATCGAAATGTTGCACGAAGTAGATGCCGCCAATTGCCTTGAGACAAAAGTACAGGTTTCATATCGATGGGAGAAATGTTCACATTCTACAAATTTCTAATAACGAAGCTCAGGACCAATGCTCAGATGTACTGTTCTAGTCCATAATAACGCTTCCCTCTAACAACCGATAAACCCATCTTTATCCAATAGTCAAAGGATGAATCCACTACGTAATAACTTCTTTGAGTGGCATATTTAGAAGTTGCTGAATCAGATAAGGAACAAACTTTATGGATGAACAATTTCTTTATTCGGAAGATGCGACGTTTCGATACAGATTCTTGTATCGTTGTCAAGCAAGTACCATAGAGTTTGTTCCTTATTCCTTACGTAAGACACTTTCGTAACTCTGGTAGGTTGTTAATCAGTAGGAGAGATCAATATTACGATGGCTATGTCTGGATACGTACTATCCATTGATTACAATCATCTCGCAATTGCTTACACCATGTGTCATTGTCAAACTAAACACTTAAATTTGATGCTGATTGCACTGAAAATTGGTTCGGTTATTTTGAGGACACATCTATGTAACAACCTAAAGGTGAGCGAGTTCAGTTTGGCGGTGCTTTACACAGAGAGAGCCAAAGTGAGTAAGTTCTTAGAGCTCGAAAAGGTTGGGGAAACCCTCCAAGAATATGAACATAAACCATCACGAAGGCGATTTGGTTATTTAAACCCACGATAACAGGGTTCAGAGTTGCCCAAGGGACGCAACTCTGCTCGGCTAAAGACTACTCTACTGAAATCGGGTCCTGTTGAAGCACTCGCGAATCTCCATCATCATCATCATCCTAACCATCAACGACTACTCCACCCATGGCCCTCATCTTAAACGTACTTTGGATTCTGCAAAATGATGGGAACGTTATCGTCATATTCGAGCCTGGAGATTGGTGGTAATGACCACCCATGTACCTTAAATAGAAAGAAGAAAATGATATTGAATAGGTGCGGAGGTAGACTAAGGCTTAGTCTCTGAATATATATAATTTTGATAGTAACAAACAAGCCCATTTATATTAAAAAGGAGCCCTAGGGAGACCAGAGATTCAGAACCTGAGGAAATCTAGACTTGCTTTATTTAGGGCTTTAGCACTGCAGAGAGGGCTTGGCAGTAGGGAAATTAATGTGGTTCAGGGACTGTGAGACAGACTAGTGCGGAGGCAAAGGGAACTTGACTGAAGAGTGATCATGTTTACATCTCTTGATGTCTCCACAATCTCAACAATCTGGCGACATGTACAAATAACAACACATATCCTTAAAATCTTTACGAAATCCATTTCATCGTCTAGCATTGTTATTTACTTATAAGTCGCAATATTTGTCCCTATGTTTCATACCTATAATAATTTGTTTATCAAATATTATTTTACTTTAAGCATGTCACTACATGCCTCAGTACATAACATATTTATTGTGAGTGTCTTAGAAATCTATTGAGACTGGGTAACAGGACTTTCCCTGTGTAAATATTGTATTATTGTTCCCTATCACGCGATATTATGAAGAATATATTCTATTCATCCAATTGTTCAGCGTCAGATCAAAGGGTGACTGTGCCTCACGGCAGTAACACGACTTTTCATATTTTCCGCATGGTTCAACTGCGATAGTTTGTCATGTGTCCCTATTAAAGCTATTCCAATGGTGGTTTGGCAAGTAAATGTGATGTTATAGCTCTCCGCGTTGACCCACCAGTCATTGGATGAGTCATGTACCATTAAGAATAAAGATATACTATGTAGCGGGACGTCGTCTTACTGGGTTTGTGCTCTACATTGTTTAGGCTATCATTGATATTGCAGCGGTCGTGCTCCAACTAGCGCAAATGAAAGGGCGACAGTGCTTGTTGTCGGTCGAAAGGGTAATAAAGCTTCGACGCAGGCAATGCGAAAAACGAGTCATTATTCATGGACATCCGATTTTCCGTCCAAACATACTCGACACCGACAAATATCCCTGCGCTAAATAAAGTTAGCATGACAGGGTAAAGTAAAGAACAAATATTATGTATGAGATCACATAATAATCATTCTGCACCGAATCCCATGAGTATTTAAGGAACACTCAAGTCTCTATATATACTCATGGAAACGAATAAAGGAACACCTGAAAGTACAAGTGTTCCTTTATTCTTTTCCAGGTTTCTTCACAAGCTTTGTATTGCGCTGTAGGGTGAAATTCTGGAAACGAATAAAGGAACACTTGCTTCTCTTGTTTCCCGTGTTCCCTATTCGTTTCCATGAGTATATATCAGGCCAATAGCTGATCTGAGATTGGGTGAATATAAGCTACTAGAGTTAAGAAGGGCGTGAGTACACTCTACTACGCAGCTGCTATAAGCAGGGCACAGCTATAAGCTAGTTGAGACTTAAGTTCGTATATTTAGCATATATATCATATATATAAAATCATAGTACAATCATGAAACACTCAAAACATAAAACAGTAAGTTTGTCGTGCTTGCTCGTCAGCGTAATAGGGGCGATGGGGTAGCCTAGTGGTTAAAGCGTTCGCTCGTCACGCCGAAAACCGGGGTTCGATGGGTTCAGTGTGCGAAGTCCATTTCTGGTGTCACCCGCCGTGATATTGCTGGAATACTGCTAAAATCGGTGTAAAACAATACTCACTCATTCACTCATCAGCTCTTTAATCTCCAGTCTCGTTGTCACAGTGCCTGATGAACTTCACTGAATAATCATTAACGTATAGGACGCAACTACCCTTAGTCTGTCATACAGACCCTGAAACAAATATATCCTAGAAAGCCCATGCAATTCTAGCATTCTAGCAAATCTAGATTTCCACAGTTTCAGGATATGAAGAAAGTCTCGCAGGGCTCCATTTCATTATATATTTTTGTATTATTATGAACTGTGTTTTCTGTAAAATATGTTCATTTCAGAGACTAGGTGTTAGTCTACACTGTCCTATATACTTACACTTATTGTATTTCAATTATCCAAAGATTTTAACTTAATGGTTACATGTAAGCCTAAAAAGGACGTGGGTCAGTAGAAGTGCTGGGGTGGGTGGGGGTGGGGGGTTGCACTAGCGCTGAACCGCTGAAGTCGTTAATTTAACTGAAATCATTCTATTCTGGGTCTCCACGTGGGAATGAGGAAGTGGTTAATTTCCACTACTTGTCAGTAACGCGTATGATAGCTGTAACTAGCGGTAAACTCACTTATTAACTCGTTTAATTCAACATATGCAGTATGTAATCGCAATATATTACAAACATCATTGGCCGACCTGGACCGCGTATGTAGGTCGAAAGTAACACATTAGCAGATATAGCGTCCCAATCATAGCGTCTGTAATTTCACGCCTCTAATTGCTGCAGCTGGGTTTCACAAACACTTCCCTCCACGCGATCATAAGCTGTCGCGAACCTTTAACAAATATGTCAGATAGTGTTCTGCACAAAAGGACTAGTTGTTTCAGTACCATCCTTAGTGAAGGAGACCTATTTACATCACAAGTAAAACTTCCTTTTTTAAATATCCTCCGACAAACTGCATCGCCAAAAAGCATCTTACAACAAGCTCGTTATATGTGTTTACAGTCACAGATCAACACGTACCTTTGTGTGTGATGTTGTGCCCTATTTAAGCTGTAGGTCAGATATCGTGATAGATGAACCTTGAAGCTGCTATCTCCGCCGTCGTTCCAGCCTCTTTGTTTACCATTCCTCCGCCATTTTGACTGAAGCCTGGTCACGTGAGAAGCTTGGCATCACATTCCAAGCAAAATCGATTGGCGGGTCACGTGACGTCTCAAAGTTTCAATCCCGACTAACCGCAACTCGCTGTAAGATGAAATGCACAGCCGGTGATGGTGGTTTCGCATGAGTTGCTGCAATTGGATATTGCCATAGGCCCCTTACTGGGCTCGTCAATAATGCATTTGTTTGTATGTATCTCACTCAGCCTACGAGTCTGAATGTCTTGTTGAAGTTATCACAGGTGATACACTTATCGAGTCATAGTGATAATACAACAGATTACTAATCTTATATGAAGTGGATAGTCAGCAATTTCCGTTTCCGTTTTGTTGAAAAGGTGCATATCATCACTGGTATTTCCTGTGTCCCTTGGTACTTGTTTGTCCCTGCCTGGCGCTCGGCATTAATGGGCACAACAAGGACTGGTCGGCTCGGAGTCAGTATAATGTATCTGAGTGGGGTATTCATGCTTCACTGCGGCATGGTATCTCAGTGGGCTAGCACTATAAAACCAGCTTAAGTCTGGGCTAGTACAAGCAGCCGCACATACACATACACACGCATGCACGTCGTCATATGAGCGAAATATTCTCAAGCACGACGTTAAACCCAATTTCACCTCACCTCACCTGTGTCCCTCGAGCTATGTCTGACGTGGAACATACTGGTGATTGTATATGTTTAGAAACAGGGAGCTAAAGGATAACATTGAGAATTGGAATGACTGTCCAGTTGTAAACAACACACACGCACAACACACTTATACACACATACACACACGCTTATACACACACGAACACACACATACACACACGCTTATACACACACGAACACACACATACACACACGCTTATACACACGCTTATACACACACGAACACACACGCAGAGGAAAATGAACACATAAAACCATGTTAAAACCTTTTTTCCTAAATTCTGTATTCATCTGTTGGGATTTTTTCCAGTTTAAACATTCGCATATTGACTTTGTGCATCCTTCTTCTCGCGTTAATATTCCCGGACTCCAAACTCTTGGACTGGTGTTCGATGCGTTGCAATGAATGATGTTTGCTATACCAGAGCTCCTCTAAACATCTCATACCAATAGATCCTCAACTGCTGCCTTGAGCGTACACCACGAGCGCAGTTTGTTGTCCATTGTCATCAGCTATCAGCGCTAATGAACTGCTGATTAACTGTTAAGCGTTGGCTTTCATTCAACGCAAATTAAGCGTTGGCTTCCGTTTGTCCTTTGCAAATCACCTATCAACGCCAGTTAACTCCCTTTGCTAAGCCTCCACCTCCGATGTCTTATTACTTTTGTAGTTCTTACATGTACGCTTATACTCTGTGTTCTTCATAATAAAGCAGTTGACTTCTATAAAACTCTCTTCCTTATGATATTATGCTATTTGGATGATAGGAATTCTGAGGGCTGTACAAGGTGACACTGTCGTCGATTCCACAGTATTCGTTGAGAAAGATGAATTTCCTGGAAACGGTAACCGGGGATTAAGGTGTTTACTACTTTGGAATTTGACATTGTGGAAGGAGAATGGAAAAATGAACATGAAAATGAAGTAACTTGCAATTTATTTCCGCACTGAAAACCACTTCAGGTATATCAAAGAATTTTACAGCATGGCAGTGAAGTGTCACTGTTCGTACGAACATGACCATAGTGCTGACAATGTCAAAGTAACCATCGCATTCTGGGACTTCAAAGGGAGGCAATTCTGTACAAGACAGGTTACGTTCATGAATGCCACAATATCCCTATTATCTGATAAGTAACTTTGCCTGCAAAGAGGCTGTTATTCCATAACACACCACAAAACTAGTGTGGTGTTCACAAGAAACACACATGGTGTAAATAGAATAAAATATGTTTAACATCGACCCAAAACAACTGATGTCAACAGAGGTCATATTCATTTTGAAAATATATGTCTCATTTTTACATACAAATCACAATGACTGGTGTCATTTTCACATATAAAACAACTAGTGTCCCTTTCACATATGAAACAACTAGTGTCCCTTTCACATATGAAACAACTAAAGTCCTCTTTGCATACAAAACAACTGGTGTCATTTTCACACACAAAACAACTAGTGCCCTATCACATATGAAACAACTGGTGTTATTTTCACATATTAAACAACTGCTTTCACATGTAAACAACTGGTGTCATTTTCACATATAAAATAACTAGTGTCACTTTCACATACAAAACAACTGCTTTCACTTTCACATATAAAATAACTAGTGTCACTTTCACATACAAATCAACTGATGTCACTTTCACATATAAAATAACTAGTGTCACTTTCACATACAAAACAACTGCTTTCACTTTCACACAAAACTGGTGTCATTTTCACATATAAAATAACTGGTGTCATTTTGATATATAAAACGATTGTTGTCATATTCATATATACGACTGCTGTTACTTTCACATGCATGCACTTACAAATCAGCTGGTATCATTTTCACACATAAAACACCAGGTGTCACATTCACATATAAATCAACCACTGTCACATTCACATATAAATCAACCACTGTCACATTCACATATAAATCAACCACTGTCACATTCACATATAAATCAACTACTGTCACATTCACATATAAATCAACTACTGTCACATTCACATATAAATCAACCACTGTCACATTCACATATAAATCAACTACTGTCACATTCACATATAAATCAACCACTGTCACATTCACATATAAATCAACCACTGTCACGTTCACATATAAATCAACCACTGTCACATTCACATATAAATCAACCACTGTCACATTCACATATAAATCAACCACTGTCACATTCACATATAAATCAACCACTGTCACATTTTAACGCAAAACAAAGAATGTCAATATCTCAGGTGAGTCATACTCCAACAGGTTTGTGTCTGAAACACACATCCTTGGTCAACATGGACATGATGCAGGGCATCTGCTTCATCCCGCCCGTGGAGTCCGTGGTCTTGGACTTGAAGTGTATCGCCATCTCGTGGCTCGTCCTGGTCAGTGTCCGGAGGAGAGAGACATGTTCCTGGTGCATGGTCTCAAACACGTGCTTCAGATACTGGATGAAGTAACTCCCGTCCCTGCCCCTCCATGCAGAGTACCCTGTGAAACAGAGTACGTCGTGTTAGGCCACATAAAATAAATTTCTTGTTTCTCGTCACTTTTTTTTTTAAAATGGGTAGGTAGGGCGGATTGTATTTTTATATTTTAATATTTTGTTTTCTGATTTTCTATACAATGTTGGTCAAAACTTGGAATGTCGGAAGCTGAGACGGATTTCGGAAGTTTGCCAGCTTCATACAGCAAATTTACCAGTGCATGAATTTAAAAAGAATCAGGGTCGGGCGGTAATGAGAAACAAATAACTATTTTTATGTGGCCTAACAGAGGCGTTTTATGATTGTAGTTTTGTTGTTATTTATCTGAAAGATTTCTTAAGTTCTCATTTATTAAGGGGCAGTTGGGTGCCCCAGTGGTTAAAGCGTTCGCTCGTCACGCCGAAGACCCGGGTTCGATTCTCCACATGGGTACAATGTGTGAAGCCCATTTCTGGTGTCCCCCGCCGTGATAATGCTGGAATATTGCAAAAAGCGGCGGACAATCTCATAACAACCTAGCATTAACGGGCTTTCCTTTAAACCAAAGGAGACCATTTCAAGGTGTTCGTCTTCACCTGTACGTCTGATTACTCTATCTTGAAAACACAGTGCAGACAGTTTTGTAACGATATAACGATAAATATCGAGCCACAGGATTATTTTCTTCACCGTGTCATATCTGAACGTTAACCCGACAAAACATATGTGTCCACAAGGCGACAAGCAACGAGTTAAAGGATGCAGTCACTTTTCAAAATGGTGTGAGAGACGTACTGAGTTGCAAAACATTAAAGTTATGAAAGCTTCCATGTTTCAACAGGAACCGAACCGTTATTATAATATATTGTGAATTCTGTTTGATTTACGTATTAGCGAAACAGTCTTAAGCGTTGTTACTGTAAGTTCTTAAAAACAGTTGCCGCATCACAAGGGCAGAGTTTCACATATTGACTGAAGTGTTTTAAAATCTCTTCCTATGAAATATGTTTTGCCGCGAATGAACAGCTCCTTAAAATGATATTTCTATTTATATATTTATAATCAACAATCGACTATGGATTTACCGATGGGAACACAGCAGAATCTAGATATATAGGAAAAGCAGAATTATCATATTCACCTGGTGGAGTTGCATAAACAACCAAGAAGTCCTTATAGAGCGGGGTAGGGGAGACAACTATGTCTTCACTTTGATCGCTAAAACTTCTCATTCGACTTTCGTATGGTTGAGAGGCATCGTCTTCGCCTCTCACTGTAACTCTCCGGTGTATATATTGCCCGGGGGTGATGGGTCTCCTGACAGTGACCTCCTGACCCTGGTCCAAGTCGTCACCACGACACGCCTGTAAACGAATAACCCGAACTGCATTCATATGTAAACGAATGTCCAGCTGAAATATACTCGTATGAGACCGACTGAACGTATATGTCATACCCTAATGGAATTATTTTAACATACACAACATAATAAATCGGAATTAAAGTTAGATGAATGTTAGGTGAAGACTGGTCACGAGCGTACTAAACAGGAACCCTCCAGTAGTATTTGATTAATGCTACACACTAATAGTTTTCAAGTTTGTTTACACATGTGAAACTCGGATAAAAACAAGCTCTCATGTCTCCTTTCCACTCGTAAACAAAATAAAAAACGACAAGCAGGCATCTGTGCACGTGCATATCGGGTGGATTTTATAGCATTATTTTGAATAGGATTCTGTTTAAAGTTGGATAAAAGCAACCCATAGTATATTTACCAAGGTATATATCCGTTTGCCTCTTATTTAAAGGGGCGGCGGGGTAACCTAGCGGTTAAAGCGTTCGCTCGTCATGCCGAAGACCCGGGTTCGATTCCCCACATGGGTATAATGTGTGAAGCCCATTTCTGGTGTTCCCCGCAGCGATATTGCTGAAATATTGCTAAAAGCGGCGTAAAACTAAACTCACTCAATCAATCACTTATTTAAAAGTAATTAACATATTGTCCAGCGGATTTCAGTGGTATATTTTCGAAAGTTAAAATGTAAAATAATTCACAGTCGGTTTCACACCTGGTCCTTATTATCTGATGATCATTATCCGGCGTATTTATTTATCTCCATCGAGTGACCTCACACCTAGATGAAACCGTGGGACACTCACTTGAATAATGAATATTTTAGGCTTGTCCTTAAGCTGAGGGCATGTCTTCTCTCGGAGTAGATTCACCAAGACGCGCGTGTAGACTATGCTGCCGTCCACGCCGTGCAGGATGTCGTGGGGGATGCCGTGTCTGTCCTCCTCCTCCCCGCCGTGAGACAGGATGATACAGACGAAGCAATCGGCGTTGGCGTGGTCGTAGAAACGGTTTGAAGCGGCTGCAAAGTGGAAGCTTGTTATTACAGTGAACTCACTGGACTCCATGTTATCGTCTATACTTCCCATCAAAAGTTTAAAGGGGCGGTGGGGAAGCCTAGTGGTTAAAGCGTTGGCTCGTCACGCCGAAGACCCGGGTTCGATTCCCCACATGGGCACAATGTGTAAAGGCCATTTCTGGTGCCCCCGCCGTGATATTGCTGGAATATTGCTAAAAGCGGCGTAAAACTAAACTCAGTCAGTCAGTCAGGCAAAAGTTTAAACTCACAAGTGTAAATACAGCCACTTACTTCAGGCAACTGTTATAAACTAAATTTGGCAAAATATTCCTTACTGTTTAAAGGTACTGTTTACACATGAACTGACTTATTGTAAAACAAATTCGTAATGTTGAAAATAGTATTGCCACGAGTTCAGTAAATGATAAATATCAGTGAAAATTGGCGAACTCTTAGCAAAACTTCACATCAAAACGCAGCTGTTAACATGCACGATATTTGCACATGCTTTTCAGAAGTTTGATGCATGATCCTCGTGCAATTAATCTGCACAAAGTTTGCAGTTGGTTCTCTCCAGTTAGTGGAGAAATCAATCTTCGATGTAACCATATGTAAAACATACAATCAAGTGAGTGTTTTAAGCGAGTCTAAACTGTTGATGGGAATTATATATATTGCTTGTTATCAAATGACTAAACTACATCGGGGACATCGGAGCTCAGTAATTTGCGCTGTGTCATTGCACCCCGAAGGTGAGGTGAAGTGGGTTTTACGTCGTGCTTGAGAATATTTCGCTCATATGACGACGTGCATGCATGTGTATGTGTATGTGCAGCTGTTTGTACTAGTCCAGACTGAAGCTGGTTTTATAGTGCTAGCCCACTGAGATACCATGCCGCAGTGAAGCATGAATACCCCACTCAGACTCATTATACTGACTCCGAGCCGACCAGTCCTTGTTGTACCCATTAATGCCGAGCGCCAGGCAGGGACCAGCAAGTACCATATTTTAACGTCTTTTGGTATGACGGGGTCGGGGATCGAACCCGCGACCTTCCGCTCTCCGGGCGGACGCTCTAACCACTACACCACGGAGGCGGTCTTGCAACCCGAAGTGCTCATAACATCATTCTTGGGTTTGTCTTGACTACACTCCATAAATTTAGTTGACTGTAAAATAAATAGTACGCGTTTGACCGAGGTGTATACCACAAGAAAATACTAGTACGGATCCTGCTGACCAGCAAACCTCCATCGGACGGACGTTTACTGCTGATAACGTCTACATTTACATACGAATAAAGATCAATCGCCCACCAAAGGATTTGTTACACAGGACGTTTATCCTTCGAACAGCAGTGCCCGTGCGGATTCCGGGTTAAACTTCCCAAGTAATTTATAGTAAGTGAGTGAATTTAGTTTTACGCCGCACTCAGCAATATTCCAGCGATATGACGGCGGTCTGTAAAGAATTTCGACTGGACCAGACAATCCAGTGATCAACAGCATGAGCATCGATCTACGCAATTGGGATACGATGACATGTGTCAACCAAGTCAGCGAGCCTGACCACCCGATTCTGCTAGTCGCCTCTTACAACAAGCAAGGGTTACTGAAGATCAATTCTAACCCGGATCTTCACGGGTAAGTAACTCATAGTGGTCGAAAGAGGTGACCAAGTGGATCAGGTGGTCAGACTCGCTGACCTGTCTAATTGCATGTTTTCGGAACCGGATGACGTGGATCGATGGTCGCAGTATCAATCCCTGGTATATCTGGGCCAGAATATTTTATTTACAAGTCGCTTGTGTACTGTTCACATTAACCGGGTGCATATGAAAAGAGACTCTCTCACTGACCATACTCGTTTCCTATACCCATACACACGCATGGGTATTCCTACACACTGGACCGAGATCCGGGTTAGAACTGATCTTGCTGAGTGCGGCGTAAAACTAAACTCACTCACTCCTACACACTGAGTCAGAGAGAATGAGACAGAGAGATGGAGAGAGGAGGAGGAGGTGGGAAGAGACAGAGAGATGGAGAGAGGAGGAGGAGGTGGGAGTAAAGAGACAGAGATAGAGCTTCCTTACCTTCTTCAAGTTTTGTGACCATTTCCTCAGCTGTGAGATCATACCATATTTGCACGTCAAATTCCAACAGATCTTTAAAAATCTTGAACAGCCTGCTTGTGTCGTGTTTAGCGCCCGACCTTGGCTTGTTTCCTGTTTCTGTCATGTAGTTGATGTTGTTGATGATGATGGCGCGACCGCGCTTTGTATGGAAGAAGTTGTATTCGTTGTCAGTCTCCAGCAATCGCAGTTGTCCTGGTGTCAGCGGAAGACTGTCAACCTCATCAAAATCCCTGTCAATATCATGTTGATAAATAAATTCAGGTGTAACTGTGATCGCTGAGAAATTCTCACCAAGCTATGGTTCCATATTTGTACTCATACACTAACCCCCTCCATTCATACAATATATCAATATACACGTATATCGGTAGACATTATGGAGATCTCGACTCATTGGCTATAACCCCGGAGTCCTTGAAGTTTGTAAAACCTACGTCTTAAGCACAAACAGTGATACTTAAGTTGAAAACTTTTAATAAAATTTGAAACAAAAATATACATGCATTACATTCAGCCATAATCTCGCGCTACAGATCAACACAAAGTATTGTTATATGAACCTGTACAGATATAAACCTTATAATGGAATGTATGAACCTTAAGTGACAGAAGTAACAAACAAAGCAGGAGTGATTATTTTTAGTTTCGTATTTTTAGTAGTGTATCGTATTTTTAGTTTCGTATCACTGGGCTGTGCTTATAACGACTATGCTCCCAGTCGATCTCCTAAACAAGCGCTTCAATGGAAACTTGATTTAAGCCATAGGCTAATTTAATATCTTTTACTGAAAAGAGTGAGTGAGTGAGTGAGTTGGGTTTTACGCCGCTTTTAGCAATATTCAAGCAATATCACGGCGGGGGACACCAGAAATGGGCTTCACACATTGTACCCATGTGGGGAATCGAACCCGGGGCCTTCGGCGTGACGAGCGAGCGCTTTAACCACTATAGGCTACCCCACGGCCCCTTTACTGAATTGAAGTCTAACAACATAACACTGACATAACACTGTAGTATTAGGAGTTTTAGTTGGCAAAATGGCAAACAAAACCTGATATACTGATCCTAAAGTGTACGTTATTTCATGACATATAATATATATTCATTGTTCGCAAATATGTATCATAATAACTTGGGTGAAATATATAATCATCCAAAAGAACAAACACTGTAATGTCGAAGTTTGATTTGTCGAGTTCCCTGCTCATTCCTAATTCACTCATCATTTTCCGAATGTGTCGAGCCTCAGGTAACTCGAAGTATTTAGCCCATCGACACAATGATGTTTGACTGTAGTGTTATCTCCCAACTTACATTTCCTTTAAACTGTCACTGTTAACACGATATCTGATAACATAGAAAGTCATTGCCTTTCTTTTGCCTGATAGAGGAAGTTGTCTCGTGTGCATTAACCACGTTTTTTTCTGCAGGTGTGGGGACGGTGGGGTAGCCTAGTGGTTAAAGCGTTGGCTCGTCACGCCGAAGACCCGGGTTCGAATCCCCACATGGGTACAATGTGTGAAGCCCATTTCTGGTGTCACCCGCCGTGATATTGTTGGAATATTGCTAAAAGCGGCGTAAAACCAAACTCGGTCAGTCAGTCAGTCTGCAGGTGTGGGAGTTTTGTTTCCCAGGTGTGTGCACGTGCATGGCGGTGACAGCTATCGCGTGTTTTCGTCCGATATAGTATAGCTGACCCGACTGAATCATTAATGGCAGACATTGTAGGCATGAACCCGTTCTAATTGTTTACTCGAAATATGCGTTTTCGTCTATGATGATTCTGTATATTATAAGGGGAGGCGGGGTAGCCCAAGTCACACTGAAGACCCGGGTTCGATTGCCCACATGGGTACAATATGTGAAGCCCATTACTGGAATCGATATTGCTGGAATATGGCTACAAGCTGCGTAAAATCATACCCACTTACTCACACACCGTATATACTCATGCCAATAATGGTTGTCACACCCCACCCCACACCCCACCACACCCTCCTCTCCAATAAAACAAATTGAAGGGGGTGACAACCATTATTGGCATGAGTATATTATAAACATGCAAAATTGGCTTTAAGTTCCAAAACAGGAAATATTACAATTATGGGATTTACTCACATTTTTGGGAGAATTTCCTTGAAACTCATGGCGTCTTGTTTTCACTTTGCCGCGTCCATTCTTGAGTAAAGGATTTCTGAAATTGATATATCTCTATATTGGTAATGATACACATTCACACCTAATGATCACAGCTAAATGTATGTTTTCGTATAAAGTATATAAGCTATATGATCTTATTCATTTTTTATGTGTAGATATTTGTTTAGGATTTATCTCAGCAGGTAATATCTACAATGCATTACCTGTTATCATCGTGAAACATAATAGACAAAATGGCGTTGAAAATAGATCTGACACTTCCTTGTTAAACGTATTGATTTCATTTGTATTTACGAGTCGGTGAGATCTATAAATACGCTAGAGCCTAAAGGTGCGCTGATACGTACTTCTGTGCACTTGGTGACTCGTTAACAAAGAAGTAGTCGTATTCACGGATCAGCAAGAGTCCTGTCAGATGAAAGTTACGTTATCAGGCCTGAATCCATATAGTAAACAAACACAAATACCTCGTATTGGTTTACAAAAATACAAAAATGGCTTCAATGTTGAACAGATGTCAAGCAATTAAAAAGCCACTTCCCAAACCCAACTCATTGTGACGTTTTTCCGTATGATATATATAAGCGATGAGTTCAAATTTTACACTGTAGTATATACATAGCCAGAACAGTGGCTTGAGAATTTTCCGTGACTTTCTGAAATAGCTCGTTGTTTTATAATTCAAACGTGTGTAGGATCGGACAGATTACCAGTCACAGCCAGCGATGTTCAATTTTTCAAACATATCTTTTTCTGCTCACTCCGACCACATGATGTATATCAACCTAACAATTAGTGGTTGTGTTAGTTTGTTTTCACACAAAAATAATTCCTACAACTAGCCCTGGACTGACAAACTGCTACCAGAAAGAAGAGCATGGCGCCCAGCTTTGATTAAATTTCCACGTGACGCCAAAATCACAATAGTTGTATCAAACTTTCTCTTCCTGGACACCTGTTTACCCTTGTTTGACACCCGTTTACCCGTGTACTCAAATATCAGCTTGTAGCTACTATAGGGTCTCCGTACACACGAAGCTGTCATGCGAAACGGGGACGACCTACCCACTGTACACTCGAAAACTGTGTGAATAAACAAGACATTGACCTACGATCGACATGCCCGTGTTATATACGTATTTCTGAGTGAGAATCTATAACCTTTAAGCTTTATTATTTTGACTTTAAGAACTGTATACTTCCTGTGTTTACTGGGCATAGCGAAACGACATAAACATTGAACTCACCTGTGATGGTCGTCGTTGAATTTGCCCAAACTAGAATGAAGCGGGTGTATTGTGTCTCCGTGTATAGATGTGTTTATCTGTAATAATGAAGGAACAGCTATATATAGACATGCAACTACCGGTTTTCGGAAAATCCAACGTTTACATGTGACATGTTATATAGACCTGAAGTCTTTTGTTGTCGTGAAGTCTATATCACATGACAGAGGTGCCGACGATATTATTCGAGTTACCCCCTTACATATAGCACCCGCAGGGGGAAGAACGGGTAGATTTCATTGTTGCGAAAAAGGTTGGGCACGTCCTCAATACTATCTAAATATAAAGCCTTGCAACCTATCGGGCTTACACGAAACATATTGGCTTGCTACGCGCCTGTTTTCTATGTACATATTGTTTGTGAAACTTTTCCTGAGAAATCCACGAGACAGTGAATGGACTTTGAAACTGTTCCATCCTCAAATGTAGAGATAACTATATTCATATACAACGTTTTTCCTCGAGAATATCGATTATGTCGGAAACATCACAAACAACATTAAAATATTACTTCTGAAACTGAAGTAACAACCCACAATGACATATAGAACTAATGATATGTGTTTATTTATAATGCCCCACAAGAACATAATGAATTTTTCAATCACCTCTCTCTGGTGAGTATACAGTCGAAAGAAGGTCAATTGTCAAATTACCATCCAATCCCACCGGATACACATTCACTGTGAAGAGACGGGCTTCAGTGTTGGGCAGGACTGAAATCATAGAGAATCTTTGGAGTCTCAGTGTTAGATCAAAGATTTGCTCATTGTCAATATTTCTGCCCAATAACCGCTAAAATCAACCGTTGTGACAAAAGTAATCCTTATCCAACTGTTCGATATGACCAGTGATTCATATAAACACATGAGCACCGCATACCAAATTCTGCAAATGTTGATCAGTTAAAAATTATGCAGATTCTGTGGTCAAAAAGGGTCATTTTCCCACTTGCCTTGTCCAAGTCGTTAAACCTGGTGTGTGACACCTTTCAGTCAGCGTGACACCCACCCCACCAAACATATCGGTGTTGGAAAGACTTGACTCAAACTTTCTAGGACTGCCAACTTCCTTGAGCTAACACATGGACAGTGGAGTGACTACTGCACAGCAGAAAAAGTATATGCTTATACTTTATAATCTTATCTTTAAGTAGGCAATGCCAAAGGCCACCAAAACGAAAATATCAAAAAAGCGTTCATTATTATTGAAATATCCCATGGACACATACAAAAAAGTAATAACTCGCTTAACATTGTCTAGTTTTTCCATATATTGGAGTCTAGCCAAGACACAAACACGTTTATTTATCAGAAAGCTTTATGCCAAGTGTGAATCTTGTGTCGCCAAGTATCCCACCTAATGTGTCTGTCATATTATCAGGTTGATTGTAATGCTTAAAGTCCGATTGCATCCTCTGTGAAGTAAACGTATTTGAATTTTAGAAGACAAAAAAGATGTTATAATTCCATTAAAATAAGAAATAATCGAGTGTGGCTAATTTCAATTTAAGAGCAGTACTTACACATATAAATTACACTGACGTCTTGTCGTGAGCAAGAAAATAAAAATTGACAATTTCAAGAGAATTGATTCTTCATTCTTTTTTGATGTTGTTAAACAGTCCATATCAGGAACTTTGTCTAAAGTCCTGCAGATACCAGCACATATTCTTCAACTTCTGTTTGGTTGCCCGACGGCGTCACGGAAAAATTAGACGCTGCGTTGTGGAGTGTAACTACAACCCGTACAACTTCCCACCTTGCAGTTTCTCTGACATTCGTAGGGGTAGCCCAGTGGTTAAAGCGTTCGCTCGTCACGCTGAAGACCCGGGTTCGATCCCCCACATGGGCACAATGTGTGAAGCCCATTCCTGGTGTCCCCAGCCTTGATATTGCTGGAATATTGCATAAAGAAGCGTAATACTAAAACTCACTAAGTCACTCACTCACTCTGGTATTTACATTGGCTCTCATACACACAAACATAGTCTAGATCTGAACAAGCTCGTTCAAACAATTCTTTAGAATATTAAATCTCCAGATGTAAAGGGTGAAAAAATATTTAAATACATTTAACAGAATTCCGATGTGTGAAACGTTTAATCGAAGATTTGTTGATGAGAATCATTGGCGCAAAATATTGCAGTTGAGGATCATGTCGAGGAAAAAGGCAATTTTTATTGTTTTCACAAATCATCTTTGTTGACTCTGTTAGAACCTGCATGTTTCTCTTTTCACAGTGCAACTAGTAAAAGATGGGTGTTTTAGTGCATGTCATTGATTGTGTTATTATCTGTTATGTGCAAATAAACTGACGTAAAATAGAAAATACACACCTGGTGCTTTTGGATTACTTTCCAAAAAGCGACGTAAATGTTTTGAAAAGAGTTTTTAAAGTGATATATAAGTCACAGACATTCCTAATATGTTGCCAAAACACTACATATATCGTGCCCAATTGCGAAGTTGCCAGTCAAATTCACAACACTTTTCAAATAATCACAAAACATCAGGTTTGTACTTTCTTTTGTACGTCAATTTAATTGCTATGACCCTTAAAACGTTTAGATGGCAACGTCGTCAAACAATTAATCTTTATCTAGCATTGACCTGCTTCCAGTTTAATTTACTCACGATACGCCACTGTTGGCAATTCCGCATGCAAAGGCAAATCGCTGACCCAGTTTAGAACTGTGCAGGCATTGAGGTCGCCGGCAACGTCTGGTGATGCATCGCGGTTACTAATTACTGTGTTGGTAACCATTCTATCATTGGGGCGGTCGGAAGGATAGTGCTTAAAGATTTCGCTCGTCACGCCGAAGACCCAGGTTCGATTCCCACATGGGTACAGTGTGTGAAGCTCATTCGCTCACTTGCATCTATAGATCTTGTATGATTAACTAGTTTTAATGGTGGGAAAATCTGGCAATGTTGGGCTTTACAAACAGTGGCATTATAACCAGAGGAGACTACCGAGGATAGTTCGTGATTTAAGTGGCGAGGGCTATATTATATCATAGTTTACGTTTAACTTCTTATAACAAATTATTTTATGAAACGTTGTAAATTTTCACTCGTCACTCCAAAGACCTGGATTTGATTCCCAACAGGGTAAAGGCTGACTGCACCTGCTGTTGCCTGTGTAAGAGGTCTGGCTTCAGTCTCTGAATTCACTCGAACATGACCTCGTTCACCGTCTATAAATGTAGCAGTTAGAAGCAGAGAGTGATTTGATTTGAAATTACAGTTTCTCTCCAAAATGCCTTTTAATCAAGAAATCACAGTGTCCGAAGGTTCGACGACTCCAAGCGGGGATGAGAATCTGCCGTTCGCTAGAAGTTGATGATGCGGCTGTAAAATCCCTAGGAGTGTGCTATGGAATATCACTGTGGTTCGACGTAACGAAGTCCGATGTCAAATTATAGAAACATGCATTTTCTCCGTTATGGAAACAGGCTGTTACTCAAATCCCGGGTGGGAATCACAAATGCCACATTAAAAGGCAAAGTCATCAATATCCCCTACAATGGCAAAATAGTCTTCATGCATATGTCTACTTGTTCTGACTATGTCAAATGTTTGTGTGTGTATATAGCAAAGTGGAACGAGAGTATTGAAAGGTTTTGAAGTTCTGCTCCGGAAAAGAGCGCCGACACCAATTTCAATCGAAGTCAAACTTGTTGCAATGGAAACGCAAACAATATTTTATTCAGAAATAAAAAACTACCAAAAGGCACCAGTACACCACCAGATCTATCTATGTGTCAAGTTTGGTGAAGAAATAGTGAACGCTTTTGAAGTTCTGCTCCGGAAAAGACGAATGTGCAAGGACGGACGAACGCACGGACGGACGGAGTCCATTTTAATGGGGATACAAAATGGGTAGGTAGGGCGAATCTTTTTTCAATTTTGAACATTTTTTCTTCTGATTTTCTATACAATGTTAGTCGAAAACATGGAATGCCGGAAGCTGAGAGGGATTTTGGAAGTCTGTCAGCTTTATACACTTAAATGTACCAGTTCAAAATATATATATATAAATTTAGGGTCGGGTTGTAATGAGAAACAAGAAAGTATTTTTATGTGGCCTAACGAAAGTACTAGAATCTGTACTTCACTGAGAAAGTGAAATCCCAAATATTTGACCACCTTCTAAATGGCATTGTGTATTCATAATAAAACGCAATGTCATGTTTTACCTATCTAACCAACACATGTATGTTAACAGTATTATTTTACGTATCATGCATTTTATCGATTGGGGCAAATGAATAGTATTAAATCAGTATGTGAATTATTAAATATGTGCGAAATATATAGATGGTATACTCTCACAATGTTATCTAACAGCTCAATAGACTGAGTTTATTCAGTGTATCACAATCTGTGTTAGATCCAGGTCAGAATTGGTCAGCAGTAACCCATGCTCTTGTAAGAGGCTCACTGACTTGGTGGATATATAGTATCCCAATTGCATATATCCATCCCGTTTGTCGCCTCTTATTGTGAAGGGGTGGTGGGGTAGCCTTGTGGTTAATGCGTTCACTCGTCACACCGAAGACCCCGGGTTCGATTCCCCACATGGGTAATTGCTTAAAGCAGCGTAAAACTAAACTCACTGTATTATGAAGGAGTCTTTGGTCAATGAAAACAAGAGCAACAAAAGACGGTATAAATATGGATTTATTTTCATCATTTCTAGTTTGACGACACATACACACATTCATTGTGTGTTTCTACACATGGTATCTACTGACGATCTATTGTGGAGCCCACCAGGCTCATTCTCTGTACAATTTCTTGCGGGGATCTCCCACGTCTACTAGTACCAGGAATTTACATCCAGAAAGACACCAATCACAAGAATTAAAGTAATTCATTAAATCATAGATTAATACCATAGGCAGACATAAGCATTAACTCAGTCATGAACATAATAAATATTATTCTCAATATCAATGCTGAAAATAACATCTAATATCTCTAACTGTCCATGAGTCTTGCAGCATTACAACGTACGGCAATAATATTACCATTTTGGATATTAATAAAAATATACCCGTTAAGAATATACAATTGTTCAAAATCTACAAATAATAAATTACACTACCTCACTAGTAGATGGACAACAAAATAATAAATAGATCAGTTAACACACACAAAGTTGTTATCATTGATCCCTGATTAAACTATTTCATTGGCTGGCTTTGTTCAGGATTCATAAACATTGTTGAGGTGGTACAATCAACAGTTTGTATTTTGTAAATTACTCTAACCTAAAATAGAAAAGATATAAAATTATGTAAAATATGTTATCTACAAAAGTCATCAATAAGATGTGATCTTGAGTGACAGTAGACATGGAAAAATGTTAATAACAAATGCTGTTGACAATGTATTGATAAATGCATGACTTTTAGCAAATGGCAATTTATTAAAAGGTAAGAAACTGAAAAAGATGACCCCAAAACGAATATCTTTTCAAACCTCCCAGCAGTACTGAAGTACTTTTTACGACCCTAACAAATTATGTTGTATTCATTTCACATTCGGGCTGTGGGTTAGCCCAGTGGTTAAAGCGTTCGCTCGTCCCGTCGAGGACCCAGGTTCGATTCCCTACATGGGTAAAATGTGTGAAGCCCATATCTGGTGTCCCCCGCCATGATATTGCTGGAATATTGCTAAAGGCAGCGTAAAACTCAACTCACTCATTCCACATTCACACTGAATAAGAGTTCCAAATGGAGATGGCAAATAATATATTCCCACACAGCAGCAGTAAACAAAGTGTGTGTCTGTGTGTTTGTGTCTTTTGAAGACACACTAGCACCAGAGAGTAACTAGTAAAGATTATCACCCTAAACAGACCACAATGTCAGATCATCATTATACAGGAACTTAACTCAGAAGTAATTACCTATGGCTGGGAAATTGAAAGAAATCATTTGGCTTAAAATATTTTTCTGCACATGTAATTCAGAGTTACTTCAACTTTTCATTTACGCAATACAGTAAAAGTAAACTTTACAGCCTCTTTGTTTTTTCTGATCCTGTTATCAGTAAGTGGAAGTAACCCTTGTAAACACAGAACAATATTTGTATAAAAATAACATGAATTAGGTAAGTTTTAAATCCAGTTTGTAAATTAGTACTGACTATTACTGCAAATATGGGACTGAATATCAGCCTCCGTGCAGGTCTAAATATATCCCTCCATAATTTTGTTCATGTAAGTATCTTCCTTACGTAAACATTTCAAATTATTATCAAACAATTATGCCATCATAGTTTTGTGTCATCATCTTTCACAGCTGGTAAACAATTGTTGTTTGAGATCTTGTGAAGCAATAATTAAAACAGAAATAAACAACAAAATGGTGACTTATCATTCATTAAAAAGTGAGAAATGTCCAAACATGCCAGATGAAATGGGATTAAAAACCTAAACATGCATTTGTATGACTTTAACAAATACAATCAAACTTCGCCAATATGAAAACATCTCAATGTATGAGAAACTCTCAAGACAATAACAATTAACATATGTAAAAATCTCTTGTACTAAAAATCAGACTATGTCACATAATTTTTCTTGAATTCATTAATTTGTACAATTGTTTCTCTGGGTTACCATGGAGACCATGATAAATAAACTACCTGTACAACAAGGGTCAAAATACACACATTTATGCCTGTTATAACAATATATCAGTTTAAAAATTACAGATGTCAACTATTGCAGAATAAGAATGACTTAACTTATATTACAATTGCAACCAATGTACAGAATACATTCCACAAGTGGAGATTACTTCACATTTTGAACAAAACACAGACACAATATATACTGTACTTAAGTCACACTCCTAGCCTAGATCCTACCTGACACCCCTTGACTGAAGAATCAGATCATCCAATAATATTAACCACTATACACAAATTACAATTCAGCTGCCATTATGAATCAAAGTAATGAGGAAATCAGATCAGATGAACTTAAATAAGAATTCCAAGCATACCCAGACTATCAAATCCTGCTTTTGTTAAAGGATTTTCAAAATGTATTCATATTTTCATATTCATAATCATAAGATGGTTCTTGAACATCAGTTCATTAGAAGTGTAGTCAACGTTGTCATGGCACAAAACTGATTATCTTAATTAAAAGGAAGTTAAATAAAAATTGAATTTTTCAGAGATTTCTGACACATTTGTAGGTTCTAATTTGACTTAATTAGGGGTTTAACTAACTAATTACATTCTTCACTCAAAGCAACAATAACAACACACACAGACACTATGCAGGTATGTACGAATATGTTCAGGCATTTCTCTGAATATACACTGCATGTATATTCATAATGTATACTATTTCTCTTTAATAAAGTCATATATGGGACTTCATATACATGTGAGTATACTAAACAATATATTGAAAACCCCTGAGTTAATAAGAGTCGAGCAGTATTGCTCATTGCCTTAAATTATGCTAACTAAAATCACTATCATATAAATTATAATTTAATTAGTTGTATACAAGCAGTATCAGACATGCATTACACTGAATTACTTTCAAGAAATCAAGATCACAATTTGTCAAGTCGTCGTACCATTTACAATTCTCGAAATAAGCTCTTTACTTTTGTGAAATTAAATTTCTTGAAAATCGTCAGCATCTCACAGCACTTTCTCACAGCACGAACATAGTAAAACCACAGAAAAACGTTCATAATTGGGGAAAATAATAAACAACTTATGTAAATAGTCATTTCCAACAATCTCTTAGCTAGGATTACTATCAGAAAAATCTCACATTTATGCCTGTTTAAGAGATGTTTGGACGAATGAAACGGATGATTGTTTTCAGTTGTTGCACACCGGTTCCACGCTCATGAATACATGACATCTGTGGTATGCATTCCTGTTTCGAAAATGTAACAATTCACTTATAGCACAATTTAAAACATACTGAGATGAAAGACATAACAGTTAACAGTTGATCTTTAAAACATAGCACTTCCTCTGTCTGAAGCACAATGGAATAGCCAAAAACAGAATATTCACATTCTATCCAAAAATACAAGATTAACGTGGCAAAAACCTTAACTGTTATTTTTAAAAGAAGATGAAGAGGCTTAACAAAAAAACAAATGACATGAATGTTGGCACAACAATGTTACAAGCTGTTTGTGTACGGTGTTAACAATAACAAGAATATGTTCTGAATCTAGAGATAAGTACTAGGATGGAAAATGCTTACATATAATAAACCCAATTATCCTTGAACAATATATCTGATTGGTTGATCAAACCCATCGTTGATAGGGGCCTGAAACCATTGGCTGCGGATCTATCCAGCGTGTAATAATAGAGTCTGTTGTCAAGGAAACGCCATGTCGAACAGGCGCATCCCACATGTATTTGTACTGTGCTGCTGAAGTTTTTGCAAAATCGACAGTTTCCTTTTTCTTCTTCTTTTTAACGATTTTCACAGCTCCATTGACAGCCCCATTTACAGGGACTTCATTTTCAATGGGGTCTTTCATTTTCTCCAACTTCTTCTTCGCAACATTTCCATTTTTCGTTCATTTTCATACCAGCCATGATGCCGATAATTCAAATTTTTATGTTGGTAGAAAACTAGACTTATTCTGGTCGGATGATAGCGGTTTGGGTTTTTCAGAGCAGTAGTCGCGTGTAGCTCACGCTTGGCAACTTCAAACAGCACAGCACCATGCCCTAGGGCAATGGCAACACCACCGATATTTGGATCACGGAACACTTCCTCGTTGTACTCCCACTCACATTTGACAACAGTTGGGTCTATTATACACTCAGAAGGCTCATTAGCATTAAACCTGTTCTGATTCCCACAGTCCAATGCAGATTTGTCTGCACCTCCATTGCACATTGATGGCCCTGCTGGATTGCAGGGTGCCCTATTATTGAACCCCATGGGGTTGTTACAGTCAGATTTGCCGTCTGCACTGGAATGTTGGTTCGGATGTTGTGGCAGTGATGATGCTTGATGTTGCATAGCTGGGTATCCAGACGGATGTGGTTGATCCTGAGTTGTCTGAGGATGAGGAGGACCTGCTTGACCTGACATTGGACCAGGCTGGGAAGGCACTGGTTGGGAAGATGAATATTGAGGTGGTATTTGAGCACCTCCTGGTCCATTGGCACACAGCTTATCTCCGTTCTGCATTACTGCAGCAGTTGACAACATGTCCAGTGGCGATGAGAATGAGTTCGATGATACTAGATGTTGTTCCTGAGATGCACCATTTTGAGGAGTTGATGGATGACTGAATGGGTTATGACCTTCATGTTTCAACCCTTGATCTTGAGAGTTGGGGGTCATTCCATTTTGCTGCCCTTGACCTTGGTTTAAATGTTGACCCTGTGATGGAGGACAATTGTGGTTTGGAATATTAGGATGGTGCGGATTATGATGCATTTGATTATTTTCCATCTTAAAATGGTTTCCAGCACCGTCTGATTTTTGATTATTAAACAATGACATTTTATTAGCTGCCCATTTAGACAAGAAAGTTCCAGGAGGGAATGTACCATTAGCATAGAAGTAATCCCAGAATTTGCCATACAGTTCATTAAAGCCTGGGAGATAGGAGTGAGACATGAGATCCTCGAATGAAATGCTCTCATTGTTCACTTTCTTCATCAGATGTTCCAACATGGCTTTCTGTTCTTTACCAGGGGGTGGCTCATTGGGGACTGGAGGCTGTGGTATCGCCTGTTCTTGGTCCTTCTTCTTCTTAGCATTTGGGCTGTCTTTCTTGGCTGCTTTTCCTCTTTTCTTTGGGGTAAGGGGTTGAGCTCTCATTTTTGCCTCAAGTGGATAGTTGGACAGGACTTCAAGGCATCCGTTTCTGATCTTCTCCTGCTGTCCTTCAGCGCTTCCAGATTCATCTGTTGGGTCGAGAACATACAATGGCAACACGTGAAGCTGTTCATCGTCAGGCTTACTGAACCCTCTGTGCTTGGTCAAGGTCACAACCTGAGGAAAGAATTTGTCGTTATTAGTCAGCAAACGGTTCACATTAAATCTCTAGTTTTATCATCTGAGTTGTTCACCTCCAATTAACAAACTGTTATGTGAGAGAATGATGAATAGTTTGTTTCTTGTTACTGTCCTGTTTCAGATATGTACTTCATTTATGAGACTTCTAACAGAGTATATGTATCTGTAGAGATTGCTTTTGGGTGTTGTACACTGAATGCAAATATAATTGTATTTGGTACACAAATTCAAAATTTAAGAAAAACTAATTCATACATGTATAAATATTTCCATTACACATTTCAGACTTTGTATAAATATTTTTCAGTAATTGAACTTTGCATCCTTAAGTCGATCATTTTGAGATTTGTGTTAAGTGGTGTTCAGGATTTGGGAGGGGATACCCACTGCAGAATTTAAATTTATAATATAGAAATTGAACAAGGTATCCGATTTTCCATTAGAGAGATGCCTGTGAATATAATGTAATATTTCATATCCATCCACATATGATAATTACAATTATTCCAGAGAATGAGGTAGTACTGTTCTGACCCACACACCCAGCATTGACTTTGATTGTTTTTGTGTTTAACGCCGCACTCAGCAATATTCCAGTAACATGACGACAGTCAGTAAATATTCGAGTCAATCCTGTGATCAACATCACAAGCATCTATCAATGCTACTTTAGTTTTACGCCACACTAAGCAATATTCCAGCTATATGGCAGCGGTCTGTAAATAATCGGGTCTGGACCTGACAATCCAATGATCAACAGCATGAGCATCGATCTATGCAACTTGGATACGATGACATGTGTCAACCAAGTCAGCAAGCCTGACAGCCTGATCCCGCCAGTCGCCTCATATGACAAGCATGGGTAGCTGATGACCAAGTTTGACCTGGATCTCAGTGCCTTGTGCATGTACTAGTTGCATGGATGTGTGCTATTTTAATACCCTATAACAATAATAATCATCACAGGTTCCGACTGTGTACTCACCACTGTGCTGCCATTGTTCATGTTATGGAGATCTTTGTGAGCATGAGCACAGAAGTCCACACAGGCAGTTACTCCACTGAACGGACGAGCTTTGTTGCTACCGAGGCGGCACTCACCTCCCTCTGTATCAAACTGACACTAGAATGGACAGAATATTCAAAACTATAGAAATTGCAACTGATTCCATGGTATTGAGGACACCCCCACTAGCTGTATACACTTAACAGACACTAGATTAGATGGAGCCCATGTTGCATTATTGAACTTAAGATGTTACATATTTCAAATCATTGCCATATCTTATTAGAGTTAAGAATTAAATAAGCAGCCTGCAAATGTTTTTTTACTTCATGATATTTCATAAAGTTCATACGTCCAATACACAAAAGGTATTGAGGTCAATTCTTAATAAAAATCAAATACACTTCTGATACACCTAGAAATTATAACATCAAAAACTTACAAAATGAGGTACAGCTCTAAATACAAAGAATAATTGCTAAAATTAATCACAGCAACAGCAATGTTCTATATCAATCCCATGGGACCGAATGCCATAATGCCAACTATTTCTTTCATCAAGTCCATTTTCATTCAATAAGGCATTGAATTGGCAGGGTGGCTCAATCCCTGGCAACGTCATACCTATAGACATTAAAAGATGGTACTTGTTGTTACTCTGCCTATTAGGGAGGGTACTATTACAAGGTCTGGACTATTACAAGGTCTGCACTATTGAAAAGCAGCCACACACATGAACTATATGTGCAATAATCATAAACACAACATTAAACCCTGTTTAAGTTAATCCCTAAATATTTTGATTACCTGATTTCGATGGGCATCTGGTGTCACGGTCTCATACAGGGGTCCCACCATAGTGGCCAGATTTTGTAGCCTCTCTTCAAGCTCTGGTTCCTAAATGACAACACGAAGGAAAGAGTTATTACAGTACCAGACTTAAAAACAACAATATCTTACTCTTATCACATATCTCAAGCAAACCGATCAGTCTCATATAGTTAAGAAATGAATATGTAATTATTTTGTGAGACTTTTCTCACCTTTACTGTGTCCTTGAGCTTAAACTTTCTAGCATCCCGACTGCGAGCGTATTTACAGCCATTGAAATACATGCTCCATGAACAGCCGAACGAGAATGAAGCACCTCGTCTCACCAAGTCAACTCCCTGACAAGCACAGGTTTTCCTGAAATAAACAAAGTGTCAGTCTTAAATCTGTCTGAAACCGACTGACGGGTGTTAAGTTCTCTAACAATTTGTAAAAGCGGAACGCAAAATTCAGAGGAGACACAATGACAAGAGTTGTCTCCCCTTGTCTAGATTTAACACACAGATGTAGACTTTTTTTTAAATACATGTAATTACATTACTTGATTAACATTCAATATTCCCTTCACAATTCTAGCATCTTAACATTTGAATTGCTGAACAGATATCTGCCCAAGCATCATGAATAAAGTGTAACACATGTTAAATTTGGGATGACAATGTCTCAGTTAAGTACAGGGGGCTGTGGGGTAGCCTAGTGGTTAAAGCGTTGGCTCGTCACGCCGAAGACCTGGGTTCGATTCCCCACATGGGCACAATGTGTTAAGCCCATTTCTGGTGTCCCCCGCCGGATATTGCTGGAATATTGCTAAGAGCGGCGTCAAACTAAACTCAGTCAGTCAGTCAGTTAAGTACAGATTCTTTTGTTGGGTTGAGTCCCATCCATTTAACCCACTCAGCCACCGCAGCTTACTGAGAAAGTGTAATCCAAATAATAACATGTTACATTTGACCACTTTTTAAATGGTAATGTGTATTGATGAATAAAGTGATTGGCAGATGAGATGTCATGCTGCAACAGACATGACACAGACACATGACAAAAGCACGTCATCAGACAACCAAATGCTTGATAAAATGTGAAATATCCCTTTCAGGTAGGTAGGACATCCAACATGATGACTTGAAATTATTATGTGATGGGAATTGTTTAGTGCTGGGTAGCCAGAGTGGAACATCTTACCTCTCATTCGTACCACATCTTCTTTCAGTCTCAAATCCTAGCTTGGTGACAGTTCCGCTCAAGTAGCTGTAGAGATCATCGGCAATATCTGATGGTACCCCATCCCAGGCCACCATGACAGAAATGATGTAGGCGTTGGCACAGAAGTGTCCAGGGCGATGGCGGAGGACACAGAGGTATTTTTCCTCTGGACCTGACCGGCGGATGATCTGGGAGAAGAAGATGAATCAATCTGAATAATATGCCATCTATGTTGCTCTAATATATAGATATCTACAGCCAGGTATATAAGTTTAGTTTTACGCTGCACTCAGCAATATTCCAGCTATATGGCAGCGGTCTGTAAATAATGAAGTCTGGACCTGACAATCCAGTGATCAACAGCACGAGCATCGATCTACGCAAATGGAATACGATGACAAGTGTCAACCAAGTCAGCGAGTCTGACCACCCGATCCCCTTAGTTGCCTCTCACAACAAGCATGGGATACCGAAGATCAATTCTAACCCGCATCTTCACAGGTGGGTGACAAGGAACAGTGACCTGGGGATCTGTTCTAAACAATGTTACCACAGGGTGACAAATACCAAAATTCAGGGCACCCATTCTAACAAGGGGCACCACTATGTGACAAGCAGTAGACCTATTTCAGGACCTATTTTATGACCTATTGGGGTAAGGCCAGACCATTTTTATTCCTTGTTTTACGGAGTTTTGTCCTCAGAAATCCTCAAGGCAGGAGGGAAAAAATAAATAAAATCACGTGTCAAAGTAATATTCCTTCTAAATACATTTTACTTTTATTTTAATTTATGAAGTGTATATGGGGCAAAAAACATCTTAAAAACGTTTTTCTTGAAAGTTTACATTTTTGGCCAATAAAAACATCAGGATTTTATTTTTTGAGCGGGGAAATTTTTTTAATTTTTTTTCTTATTCTTGAAAAAATATGACAGGCGGATCCCTAAAACAAGAAATAAAATTGGTCTGGCCTAATGTGCATATTCAAATCTATCAGCTGATATGCAATCACTAAGTAAGTATAAAGTTTCAATTCAAACACTTCATGTCATGATTTCTTTTTCTGCTTATTCAGCACATTCAGTTCTCACCCATTTGGCAACAGGACATCCTTGTGTACTCTTCCCTTCCTTGCCCGTGTAGATTATCTTCTCTATACGAATGGCATTGCCTGTTGTTCCGGTTCTAGAAAGTCAAGGTCAACACATTCAGAACTATCACAAAATGTGAAGAACTAAAGCATGGTAAAAAATAGTCGAAGGCTATCTAAAACATAACCTATTCTCTCTTAATCTATATGATCAGACTAAAAATAACATCTGCCCTTACATGATTCCCCTGCAAGTTGGTTGGTTGGTTTGTTGTTTAACATCGCACTCAGCAATATTCTAGCTATATGGTGGCGGTCTGTAAATATTCGATTCTGGACCAGACAATCCAGTGATTAACATTATGAGCATCGATCTATACAGTTGGGATATGATGACACGTGTCAACCAAGTCAGCAAGTCTGACCATCCGATCCCGTTAGTTGCCTCTTACAACAAGCATGGGTTACTGAAGACCGATTCTAACCTGGATCTTTACGGGTCCCCTACAAGTAATACCTTTACAGATATACAACTTATTCTTATACACTGACTGATACAACATACATTACTGTTACTCATAATTGATACAATATCTCAACATTTCGTGAAACGACAATTTTGCCCAATTCAGGAATCATAGATCAGGTATGGGCAAAAAAACCATTATCAGGGCTAGCCTACTGTTTTGTGCTGTGGTAAAAATTGTAATAGATAGCATAGTCCATGTCAATAGTGATAAAAAATGATCTGCTTGGTCAGTGTACAATATCAACTTCAAGTCAAGGGGTATGTTGGTTTCATACACATTTTACCAAAATCTCTGAAGAAACAAAGCCCAGGAGCTGATAAAAGAAGATAACAGCACTCTCATTGCTTACTCATTAGAAACCCAGAGGGACTGTGTGGAAATCTAATACCCTGCCTTAGACACACACACACACACACACATACCCCTGCCTTAGATGTGCCACAGCATTACAGTGTCTCCTCTATGCCAGTGCATGTCACAGCCCATTAGACAGCCGGGCAGTTTGATCAGACTGCAGATTTTGCAAGGGTATACAATATGCCTGTGAAAAATTCATGTCCTCTCAAAAATAGCTGTGCACCAATATTTTGTGTTAATAGTCACATGATACTGCCTTGTGTCAGGTTTGGCAGTGGGTGAAGAAGTCCTGAATATCCTGACCACACATCCAGAGTTTTTACAGTAAAATTACAAGATTCTTCTAGATTGGGAATCTGCATACTGCAGTGCAGTAAGGAGTTAAATGAATCCAACATTTGTATTACACTCACCTTTCTTCCAGCAGCTTTCTGATTGATGGGATATCAGGGCCAGACCCAAGCTGGGTATAATACGGACCTTCAATACTCTCATTCTGGGCATCTAGAACATAACAAGAAACAGGGTCAAAGTATACCATCAATTCATGTCGAACACCTCATCAACAGGTGTTCATCAGGGTTTACATAGACCTTAAAGAATGGGAGTCATGGTGAATCACGGCAAATCTCTTTGGGAGTCATATTCCAAATTTCTGACACATAAAAATATTTTGTCATGAAAATACTTCCATTATGATTCTAACTGAAGCAAGGGCTGTGAAGGCATATTTTGTATTATCTTGCCTCACACATAAATGTCGTTTTCTGATTGGCTGAGCGCTCTTCTATTATTTTCAATGTAACCCATGGGAATGCCGAATTCATTTGGTACTTCGTAGTAGTTCTTTATATATTTTGGGAGTATATTAAAAAATTGTTTGTTGAGTCAAAAACACAGACATTACACATCATGTAAAATCATGGTGTATGTAGCCCTTTGAGCACAAGTTACATGTTCCATGAAAGTCATAATGAAATGGAACCAATGTTGCGGGCTAATGTCATTAAGCTCAATCTAACACACAAGACAATGACCTGTCAATGTTTTCAAAATGCCTACTTGTTTGTAGGAAATTTAGGATGGTTAAGTTTCCAATACAGGTATATCTACGATATAGAATTATTTCTAGATGATCTAAATGGTTGAAAAAGAAAGTTGTTCCTGTGTGTAACATTGTGTGCACATTTCATACAGAAAAATATAATTTCATTGTTAAGGCCAGACCAATTTTATTTCTTCTTTTACGGATCCGCCTGTCGTATTTTTTCAAGAATAAGAACAAAAGTAAAAATTAATTTTACCCTCTCCAAAAATAAAATTGTAAAGTTTTTATTGGCCAAAAATGTAAACTTACAAAAAACTTATTTTTATATTGTTTTCTGCCCCATATACACTTCATAAATTGCCACAAGTAAAAGACTTTTAATAATTAGAAGGAATATTATTTTGATTTGTGATTTTATTTTTATTTTTTTCCCCTCCTGCCTTTAGGTTTTCTGAGGACAAACAAGAAATAAAATGGCCTAATCTTGCCCTAATCGTTCAAATAAAAATTAATTGATAGTTTTTATTGTATGAAACAATTTAACCCCATATTGATTGTTACTATGTTCGAAGACATCAAGCACCTCCATCAGAAACAAATAACATGAACAATTTTGATTTCATCAAGTCCAGTTTCTTCCTTGATCTACTTAAGATGTAACAGTCTATTGAGTGTAGGTACTCTAAATACAAGTTGCAAACACTTCACACTTAATTAAATCAATTCTATGTTTGTTAAAACATAAGATCAATATTATACAACTTTGAAACAGAGAGTCTCATGCCTGTAACGATTGTAATATCAAAGTCATAAGCACTTCTTGCTCAATGGCCTAGTTGAGACTGATTTCTGCTGCCCCCAGTATATATTGCTTAAAGTGGCGTGAAACCAAACTCAATCACTCACTCTTGTTCAATGGCCTAGTTAAGACTGATAGTATATATTATGTTACAAATGTAAGTTTACTCCAGCACACTGTAATGACAATCTGACAGAAGTCAAGCACAAAAGAACATGCCCATGTATTACTACTTGTTTTGTGCTATTTTGAAATCAAGTTTCATCAAATTCCATTCATTAACGTGTGTATACAAGTGTTTGGAGACATCATACATGAATCCAAGGTATTGACACTTCGTGCATGCTGAATAACCTTGATCTTCACTGTCAATCATGTCATCCTAGGTTTCCCAGGTATATCTGGGACGTAGATTGGGATATCACTAACATCTGTCATAAGTGAGTGGTCTACAAACCAGTAATTGCACTGGTGGTATGAGCAACACCACGTAAAATTGTACTGAAAAAACATATCAGCCCTTAGAAAGTACAGTCGACCGTTGTGTCGAACTCTGATAACTCGATATCTCAGTTGTCTTGATATAACATCTCGGTCCTGGCAAAATCCTTCATAATTTATCATTATTCAAGCTCTTTTAACTCATTACGGATGTCTCAATATTTCACATATATCGATATAATTTCATTGTCCCAACAAGCAATATTACCCTTTTAACTCGATATTTGCAAAGAAACTCGATATTCACCTACCTATCATGGGCAAGTATCCCTCTGAACTGAGGTTGTTTCCACACATTTACACACGGTGCGGCATGACTGACTGACTGACTGAGTTTGGTTTTACGCCGCTTTTAGCAATATTCCAGCAATATCACGGCGGGGGACACCAGAAATGGGCTTCACTCATTGTACCCATGTGGGGTTTCGAACCCGGGTCTTCGGCGTGACGAGCGGACGCTTTAACCATTAGACTACCCCACCGCCCCCGGTGCGGCATGAATAAAAGGGATGCGGTAGTGTAAACTAATTAGGGCTAATTGAGTTGAAGGTGTCACTTGTTTGTTATTTAATTAGGATTAATTAAGAAGGAATTAATAAGGAAGTACTCACTGTTACGACTAAACACTACTGATAACGGTATATAGTTTCGAATCAAAACATACTGTAGAATCCAAAGAGGGTTTTGTGTAATCACGTGACTAACATGTGATTGCTGTTGTTTCTAAATGATATGTGATGATATGCCCTGGTCGGATGTCTCGAAGTTCGGATAACTCTATATTTTTTCTTATCAAGATAACGGTGCTCGACTGTATAAATTGAACACAAATATCACAAAATATCAAAGAAATCATCAAAGTACTCACAGTTGGGTCCTAAGCAATCACAGTGAGGAACCTCAGACTTGTTGTTCTTGAGTCGGTCAAAGAGTTCCTCCTCTACTGATCCGAGCTTTATTGGAATTTCATCCGTTAAGAGATCATCATCATCAATGTTGAACTGGACCTTGCAGTTCTTGTCTTTTGTCGGTGTCGTCTGCGGCGTGGTGGTACCCTCCGGACCGACTCTCATGCCTGGTGAAAGCTCTGGCATATTCACATCAACTTTGCTGTCTGTCTTTGACTGATTCAGCGCAGATGGCACAGACGGAGGAACTGGTTTAATATCATGTGGTGGACTGTAATTTGTGGACAAAAAATCAGCATTTTTACTGGAGAATTGTTTATTTGGAGTCAGTCCATCACACAGTATCTTACTTTTCACAATTCCCTCTGTTTTGTTCAAATATTCATTTAGCATTTCGGGTGGAATTTGAACACGAGGATCATTTATTTGGTTTAGTGAACTATCAAATATACTCTGAACTGAAGCTTGTAGATTGGCTAACGGATTGGCCTGAGTTTGGGGCCCTTGATCTAGTATGTAATCCTTAACAGGGAGTTTTGTTTCAGAAGGTGTCATGTTGACACCAAGAGGTTCAAGCTTAATGGAGGAAGCTACAGGGTCCGATCCAGTAGTGACAGCCATGGATCCAGCACTAAGACTTTTCTGTTGAGAAAATGAAAGACTTTGGGTGTTATGATATGTGAATGACATTGGAGTGTGTCCTTGAACAGGAACCTGCTGCTTTTGAGATCCTTCAGGATGAGGTGATACTGTCTGGTTCAGTGGCATTGAGTTATGTGAGTGTTTGTTCTGGCAGTGTAGAGACAGCAGATCACCAGTTTCTTCACAATGATCACAACAAAATTTATCCAGATTCCCACCGCTTCCTCCAAGAACATGATGAAGATTCTCATGCTGAGATAATTTTGATTCTTGAGCTGATTTCTTACACAGACTAGGCTGCAGAATAACACCAGGATCGTCATCATCTTCAAACTGAAATGGATCAGCACTAATCACAGGTTCTCCATCACGTTGTGACTGAAATGATGGTAGAGAATTTGGAGTAGCAATTTTAGCACTAGACAAATTTTTATGATTCATCAGAGGATTTCCAGGAGGAACTGCTTCTACTTTTGGATCTTTGATTGCTGCCAGGATCTGAGCAACCTTCTTGTCCTCTTGTTGCTGCCTGCTCAGATCTGTGTCTAGAGGAGCAGCCTCTGAAGCTAATAAAGGAGTCTTGGGGAACCCTGGCTGATGTTGTGGAATACCTTCAGGGAGGACTCCGTCAACCTTTTTCTTCACCTTCTTCTTCTTTTTGGGTTCTCCATCTGGGGTCAAGTTGGCTGGTCTTTTCTTTTTGAGTTTCTTGCCAACTGGTAATGGCATGACATCCTCCATTGGCTTTGTGTTCTGATCAAGATAAAAGTGATATTGGGGAAACATAGCAAGAAGCTGTCTGTCGATATCTGAAGCCATCAAATCTGAAATTTTGCTCTTATCAGGGGTCTTTTCAACCTTCGCTTTGGGCTTCCTGGGCTTTTTAGGTTTGTTAGGTTCTGCATTCACTGGCTTAACGTCTGGTACAGAATTTACGTTGCCTTTTTGTCCATCAATGTTTGTATTTTTGACTTCAGAATTGCTTAACAGATTGCCATTAAAGCCAACAGAATTTGAAAAATTACTTTCTGAAGACACTTGGTAGGTTGGAAAACTTGCACTGACCCCCTTTATGTTTTGAAATTGTTGATCAAAGTTTCCTGGCATCATGTTATTCTGATTGCCAGGGAACTTAGGGGGAGGTGGTTGTCCGGTTGGTTTGTGAGTGTGAGATGCCATAGGATCAAACATCTGGTTACCAGGGGCAGGAGCTCCTGAAGGACCAGATGACATCACAGTTGAGCTTGAAGCAGTTGTTGTGACAAATGCATTCAGTGATGGATATGATGGATTTGTACTGAGAATGTTATTATCTTGATTTCCCTGAGACGTCTTCCAGTATTGAGGAGGAGCTTGAGGGGGCAGCATTTGTGGTGATGGCTTCTTGAAAGATTCTGCAGTCTGTTGTGGATGTTGAAGGTGTTGGTTTGGCTGTTGTTGCATCTGCTGCTGTGGGTGTTTCATTGGCTGTGGATGCTGTTGATGAGCAACCAGATTACTGATTTGTTCCTGCATATTCAGTTGACTTCCAGGCTTTTGAAGCTGTTGCCCTTGCTGCTGTGGCTGCTGTTGCTGCTGCCCAAGTTGTTGATGTGGTTGCATGTTGAAATGATGAGGATGAGGACTACCATGTCCCTGCTGTTGATGAGCCATATGTTGGAACTGTTGGCCTCCCACCTGTTGTTGCTGCACCTCCTGCTGACTTTGTACTTGTTTCTGAAATATATGTTGCTGATTTCCAAGTTGCTGCATGTTTTGTGGATGTTGAGGATGCTGCTGTTGTTGCTGCATGTGCTGTTGATGACTATCTGGAGGCTGCTGCTGCCTTTGTTGTTGAAGTTGACGCTGTTGGTTTGCCAACTGTTGATGAGGAATATTTTGATGATGTGATGACTGAGGCTGCTGCCCTGGATGTTGAAGATGATTAACCCGCTGTTGTGGATGCTGCATGTTCTTTGGGTGTGGAAGTTGTGGTTGCTGCCCTACTAGCTGCTGCTGCTGCTGTTGATGTTGCAAAGCATTCTGGACATCCTGTTTCATCATGAATCCCTGAGGACTCTGAGCCATGTCCTGCAGGTCTTGCCTGGAAGAAGGCCTCGAGAGAGGCCTGGCCAAGGGTGATGATGGAGCAGACATCATCATACTGGCCAAGGATCGGGGACTCGGGGAACCATATTGAAGATCCTGGAATGTAAATGCGTCATGTTACTAGGAGACCATAAACATATGTCATGACAAAAACTTTTTCAGTACTCTACTGACAAGTGAATATGATTATAGATTGATATGATGATCACACATAGCAAACAAACAAGCTCTATTTCCAGGGCGAGAGATCATATCCTCAACATCAGCAACCATTATCTTACAATGTCTCTCACTGAGTCACTTTATTCTTACTGTTGCTGATCGCCTCCGTGGTGTAGTGGTTAGAGCGTCCGCCCGGAGAGCGGAAGGTCGCGGGTTCGATCCCCGACCGCGTCTTACCAAAAGACGTTCAAATATGAATACTCGTTGGTCCCTGCCTGGCTCTCGGCATTAATGGGTACAACAAGGACTGGTCGGCTCGGAGTCAGTATAATGTGTCTGAGTGGGGTATTCATGCTTCACTGCGGCTTGGTATCTCAGTGGGCTAGCACTATAAAACCAGCTTCAGTCTGGGCTAGTACAAGTAGCCTCACCTACACATACACACGCATGCACGTCGTCATATGAGCGAAATATTCTCCAGCGCGACGTTAAACCCAATTTCACCTCACCTCACCTTACTGTTGCTAGCTGTCTACTACTTTGATTAACTATAAACATTGATGTAACAGTAAAATGTAACAGTAATGTTTATGTACATGATTAAAAATACATCTTATAAATTCAAACATTTTATTTACTGAACTGTACAACATGGTGATTATCATCCATCATGCTCACGACAAACATCCTTCACCATGTTCATGATACCTTAAATGTGATTTCATTCTGGGACCAGTACAAAATACAATAGCCTTTTCTGCCTTGCAACCCCACAGGGTGTGGCCATAGACTAATGCTCAGTCTGTCAATACATATAACTTTGATAGAAACAAATGATTTCATTTAAATTGAAAAGGAGGTCTAGTGCCTGAACCTGAAGGAATCTAGACTTGCTCCATTTACAGCTTCAGCATTACCGAAAGGGCTGGATGGAAGGAATATTAATGTGCAATATAGAACAAACTTTATGGATAACAACTTCTTTTTATTCGTGAGTGCGACGGTTCGATACAGATTCTTGTACCGTTGTTATCCATAAAGTTTGTTCTATATTGTACTTCCCAACTTCTAAAATGCCACTCAAAAAAGAAATATTAATGTGGTTCTGTGAGACAGGCTAGGTATGGCCACGTCTAACACCTATAGCAGCGAAGGCTTAATCTAGGTGAGCATCTGTGTCTACACACAGCTATGGTACACACAAGGCAATTAGGTAGGGTAAGAGGATGAACAGTATGGCAGTAGCAGGGTGTAATTCTACACCTATCAGGTGTCTGCCAAATGTTTATCTTCACTTTCTTGATTTACTGTTCACAGATGGTGAGGATACCACTGGCCTGGCTGCTGCTCAAACATTACAGCAGATGCTGGACCTAATGTGCATCATAGATATATATTTAGTAGTTTGTAGTAAATAAATATAATTTTAAAATGTTAAATTCCTGTTCATTCTAATTGTCTCATCATATCATATTTATTTCTAGGGACTTAGACGAAAAATAAAGCAAAACATTTAAATATGTCATCTTATTAATAAATAAGAAAAAACTCAGTCTTTATTATGTTACTATTAATTACAGCTCTCTCTCTCTCTCTCTCTCTCTCTCTCTCTCTCTCTCTCTCTCTCTCTCTCTCTCTCTCTCTCTCTCTCTCTCTCTCTCTCTCTCTCTCTCTCTCTCTCTCTCTCTCTCTCTCTCTCTCTCTCTCTCTCTCTCTCTCTCTCTCTCACATATTAAGCTTATTAATTAAATATCTTCTACACATCAGTTTTACATTTACACCTTTAACAGTTCATCATTAAGGTCCTAACTTCAGTTATGGTGAAATTTTACTCAACAGTTCAATCAGCTGGAACAAAAGTGCATGTACGCATGCATACCCCTTTCATGTATATCAATCCTTACATAAACCTACATCAGTTATAACATCAAAATGAATACTACCCATTCATCACACTTGAGTATTGCAATGACACATTACATAATATGTCTATTTAGTCGAAACAAAAGTCGAACCTATCAAACCATGCCTCGCTGAGCACATACAAATACTCAGTATTTGTACTGGGCAACCATGTTAAGTCCATCCTGAAACCTGATAAACAGGTAACCTCCCAACACAGGTAGATATACACATGCAGCCAAGTACCTGTGACCTAAATGTGCCTTGAGCCATTCAGTGTAGCCATACCTGGGGGTTGTATATATATTCTCTCTCAGCTCAGTGCTCCTTGTCAATCAACACCTGTTTCACGTGACCTACATGATATTATCATCCATTTGCAAGCCTCCTTCAAATGAATTCGTTGGAAATAAACACTTTCTGATAAGAAATATACATTTCAAGGCATAAATAATTATGATCTGATGGTTATGAAAAGGTAGTATCTGTTATTTGCTCGAATATTTTCATTTAAAAAACACTCATAAAAACATTTTAATAAACTTCATGAACTCAACAGTTCCATACCATATGTCAAATTAACGCACTTTCACTGCTAAACTATTTCTTATATACCATATCATCAATTTCAAATGAGTAAGAGGAGTTGCCGAGCAACATAACTGAAACTGGCAGTTAAATGTGTACTAACGTGATGGCTACCATTTGGGCCATAAACAGGAGTTTAAAGGTCAAAGTTCATGTGTCACTACTCAACAGTATTAAGAGAGCGAATGGGAGGGTTGCTGAGGAGGTGGTGGAATGGATGGAGATGGGGATGGAGATGGGGATGGGGATGGGGATGGAGATGGGGATGGGGATGGGGTAGACTTGCACAAGTCTCTAAGGTAAAAATTAATAGTTTAAATGAAAATTTCTACAAAAATATAAATAACAGACTGGTGAACTTACTGTCCACTTATCTAAACTTGACTCTTTAAAGGATAGGATTACTATACATACATGGGCTTAGCATTCAGTATATATAGCCTTGGCGCAGGGCTGGACATGGGGTTGAAAGTAGATAAATATATATAATTTTGATAGTAACAAATAAACCCATTTAAATTGAAAAGGAGCCTCAGTGAGTTGGGAGATCCTAAACCTGGGGAAATCTAGACTTGCTCAATTCAGGGCTTTAGCATTGTAGGGACGGCTGTAGACGAACACTTAGTCTCTGAATATTTAATTTTGATTGTAACAAAAACCCATTTAAATTGAAAAGGAGTCCAAGGGAGACCAGAGATTCCTGAACCTGAGGAAATCTAGACTTGCTTCATTTAGAGCTTTAGCATTGCAGAGAGGGCTAGGCAGTAGGGAAAATAATGTGGTTCAGGGACTGTTAGACTAGGGGGGCTGGGCAGTATGGAATATAATGTGGTTCATGGACTGTGAGACAGACTAGGTTGAAAGTGGCAGTAGTGGTGGTTGAACAACAGCAAAACAGGACCTTAAGCACAAAGCAACTTTATGCCAGGACGAGACACATTAGTGTACACAAATCTAAAATATTAATACTTCATGGTAACAGTCATCACTGCATGACTTGCTCCGCATGTCCCCTTACAGCTATATCATTCATGTGTAATGCTTCAAGATCAATAAGTTCTGTTGATCATGAATGTTACCAACCACGTATAGTTCACACAATACAAACGGCAGATAACCGTGGAACTCGATCAATCAATGAAACCAACTTCACATCATTTCCACAAAAATACAACTGTACCTACTAAACTAAAAACTAGAAACTCATACCCTAAGATCTCTTTGTGTAAACACCTCACAATAACAATGGAGGCTCAGGCACGAACAATGATAACAACTGAAGGTATCCGTTTCAAGCATAATAAAAGACCAATACAAGAAGGTGATAACTACGAGCAATGCCTACCACTATCGCACCAGTGCGTTCCACTGTGTTATAGACTTTGCAACTGACAAGTAAGATACATGCTCATATTTACCTGCAATTAACGACAGCTGTTTAGGACAGCCGAATGCTCCTCCAAGTGAAATATAGGTCACTTACAATAGGATCAATGATGTTCAGGTACCACGACAACGCTGCAAAACTCCGCGTTATTATTGATTTTACTGCCCAGCGACATTCACCATAGTTTAGCCTTTCTCCAGTGAGCCATTGAGTGCCGGGAATTTAAAGTAATTATTTCAGCTGATGGTTTTAAATCCATGGAGTTGCACAAAAGAAAGAAATGCACTCACCTGGTTGTGATGGCCATTGTTGAGGTGAATTATTTGAAGTGGGGAGAGAAACTCTCTGACAATAAAACTATTTAAGTCAGCCGGCAATATAACTCGACAAGGTAAATGCATCATTATGTTGTTTTATGTCGGAGGGATAATACTTGACTTATAAGAAACCTTCATCCATTAAATCAGTGTCACTCAGCACGGAAATTAAACAAATAAGAAAAAAGCAGAAAAGCTTGTAAATTTCACAATGCCTGTAAATGGTCAATAAATATATTTTTTCAAACAAAATAGTGCAAATGTTTTAAGCATATCAAATTGTATTTTGGCTTGTAGTTTATCCGGAAAGTAAAAGGTATAAATATTTCACTGAGAATGTCTTCATTCAGTAATGAGTCAACTGACAGGCAAAAAACCGTACACACCAATGTTTGATGGGGGCAAAAAAAGAAACATAAAAGAAATGTTTTTTTTCCATAATGATGAATATCCTAATTGTGTTTTGGACATTACGATTGCAGCCTTTTGACCTACACTACTTGTCGCCAGAAGACCATATGGGGCATGTACTGACAGCTAAATTGCTGTGCCTGAAAGTTATTAGCCCACAACATAATTCACAAGCCCGAAATTTGAATGTAGAAACTAAGCAAAATATTACAGAAAGGTTAACTACCATCATTTATCAGGCCATAATCTTGCATGATTTAAAAGTGTATCATAGCTTAAGAAGTCGGAGAGAGTGATATATTTAAAAAATGACCCCATGAAAAAACACT